TAAATTTAATAATTATAATTAGTATATATTCATATATTATATTTTAAAATCAAAGAACTACTAATCATGATATAATTAAAGAAATAAGAGTTGATGTTGCTTTTGGAATAATCCACCAATTGCCTAATTAAAACAAAAAAAAAAAAAGTTTGTTGGGAATTTTTTCTGCTATTCTGCAAAATTACTCCTTCGTTGACTAGAATGAATCATTAAATAGAAAATTTTATGAGAATTAAAACAATGTTATTTTTAAGATTAATATGCAGTCAGAAAGTTTTATAATTATTATTTATTGTAAATTTATCAGAAAAACTCATTATTTTTTGCATTTTTATCGTAATAGAACACTTAAATAGAAATCATAGTAATCATTTCTAAGTAATTTTTGATATTTAAAAAGATTCTACTATTGAAATATCCAGAACTGAATTAATTTTAATGATTTACTTTAACTAAAAAAAAAAAAGTTAATATTTTGAATCCCTCTTGTGGGCAGGTAAAGGGTTAGATTTATAAAAAAAACCAAATGATAGATAAAGACATGCATCTAAATAAAAAAAAATATACTGATTTGGTCATTTTTGATAAAGTTATAACAATTAACAAAGTTATAAGTTTTATACACTGGACTACAAGGAACTTCCATCAGAAACAAAAATATACTATTCTAAATCAACTTTTCGCGATGTTTTAAAATGTGCAATTAGACTTTTTCTATAACTTCTAAGTTTTAATATTATTAAAAAATAGTTTTTACATATAAAAAAAAATAATTAAGAACAAAAAAAATTGTTTTAAATTAATACTGATTTGATATAATATTTAATATTAATTTGATTATTAATAAGTTAAAAATAAGGAAAATGACATATTTAACCTATTTTGTTAATCGTTTAAAGTTGATTGTTGTAAATGTTTATAATAAAAAAAAAAAATTTATTTTACCATAACTTTTAGCTCAATTGGTAAGTTTGACATTGACATAATTAAATAGAAAATTTTATGACAATTAAAAAAATTGTATCGTTAAGATCAATATGCAGTCAGAAAGTTTTATAATTACTATTTATTGTAAATTTATCAGAAAAGCTCAATATTTTTTTGCATTTTTATGGTAATAGATAACTTAAATAGAAGTAATAGTAATAATTTCCTAGGAACTTTTGTTGTTTGTTGAAAAGATTCTATAATTGAAATATTGAGAACTTAATTAATTTTAATGATTTACTTTAACTAAATGTACCAATCAAAACAAAGTTGTTAAAAAGATTTACTCAATTGAGTGTATTATAAAATTTGATTATATTTGTAAAAATCAATTGTTAATTCAGGAGAAAAAACAATCATTTTTTTTAGAAATGATTTATATAGCAACATGTTACAAAAAAAAATTGTAATATTATAGTCTAGTAGTAGCACACACAAATAGAGTAAAAAAATTATTAAATTACAAAGTAAAATGATTTAATTTTGTAGTTGAAACCTATCATATCAAACTTCATTCGTTAATAAATATTTTGAAAACATTAGAAATTAATGATTTTAATTGTCTTTATGGAGACGATGTAATAACTAACTGTTTAATTGATAAATTAGAATTTTTTTTTCAATTTTTGAGAGTAATATCTTCAACTAGATACGAATTGTAGTAATTTGACGTATTGTTGAAAAAAGTAGGTCAAGTTAGAGCAGAGAAAATAAATGATAGTCACAAAAAAATATCTTCTCGGCTTTGCATCGAAGCGAAAACTTAAAATATAGTAAAATAATTTTAATACGAATAAGAAATTTCTTCTTGCAAGGGGCGACTAAAGTGATGGGATCCTTGATCTTTATTGAAGTTATTGAATCTAAATGTGATAAAAATCAAACGAGTTAAAATTTATACTAACTTAAAAAGAATTAAGAAAAAATGCAAAAAATTCATTGCCATATGCGGGTTGGAACCTCGTACCCCAAGCGTGTAAAACATAAATTTTACCAACTCGGCAACCGTACGTTGCTTCCGGCGGTTGAAAAATTGGCTATTTAAGCTAGTTCAAATTTCAAAGTTATTTTTCTCGACTTAAAAGAAACAAACATATTTAAATAAGTTTAACTATCTATACTATATCAATTTTAATTTATATAATATTTATGAAAATCTGTACTCCCCTTGTCAGGTATTTTAAAATAAAATAAAATACAAAACCCAGAATTTTAACACAAAAATAGCATATTTTTGCATACGGTAGTCATTTTTACCATGAAGACAAATCCAGAGGTCAAATTTTTTTTTTTCACATTAAAGTATATTACATAAGCTTTAATTTAAGATATATTTAAAAGTGTCAGTATTTCCGGAATACTTTCAAAAATTAAATTGAAAATATCGTAGTAACAATACGCATGTTTAAAGTTTTGACCACCCTTGTTAAAGGGGTATGATCCGATTTACAAAAAAAACGTGCCAGATGAAAGGGGTATATCAATATTTATTATAAAAAAATAATAATATAGATCCATACATTTTTCCAAAAGTTATATAAAATATAAATTAAATAATATAACATATAAAATCGAGATTTTTTTCACGGAAATCGTACGTTTTTCTTTAACTTTGATGTCCGTTTTCACCACGAAGACAAGTCCAGAGGTCAAATTTTTTTTTTTCAAATTAAAGTATATTACATAAGCTTTAATTTAAGATATATATAAAAGTGTCAGTCTTTCCGGAACATTTTCAAAAGTTAAGTTGAAAAAGTTCTACTTTCTATACGCATTTTAAAAGGTTTGCACCCCCCCTGTATAAAGGGAAATGGTCCGATTTTAAAAAAAAGTATGTCGAATGAAAGAAGTATATATAAAGTATTTATCATTAAAGAATAAAGTTGATTCATGCATTTTTTAAAAAGTTATAGCAACATAATGTTAAAAAATGTAAAATATAATATCAAAAATTTTTTCAAAACCCAGAATTTTAACACAAAAATAGCATATTTTTGCATACGGTAGTCATTTTCACCATGAAGACAAGTCCAGAGGTCAAATTTTTTTTTTTCAAATTAAAGTATATTACATTAGCTTTAATTTAAGGTATATATAAAATTGTCAGTCTTTCCGGAACATTTTCAAAAGTTAAGTTGAAAAAGTTAATTTTTTGTAAAAAAGTTACCATTTTGAAACCCCATCCTTTGGGCTGTTAAAGGGTCAAATGTTCACAAAAATATATAAAATGATAGGTAATTATCTAAGGTATCTATAAAAAAAAAAATTATATTGATTCGGTCATTTTTAAAAAAGTTATGGCAATTTTAAGTAAAAAAAAATGAAAAAAATATCGAAAATTAGCGATTTTTAAATTTGTAATTTTTTGGGGGATTTCCCCCGTTTACGAGGAACGAGGGATTTTTTTTCAATTTTTGAGGGTAATGTCTTCAACTAGATACAATTTGTGATCTTTTGACATATTTTTCATCAAAATTGGTTCAGCGAGAGCTGAGATTGAGCGTTCACAGACACAAAAAAAAAAATATAAAAAAAAACACATCATAGTAAAATTAATACCTTCTCAGCTTCGCATCGAAGCTAATAAATAGATAAAAAAACTGACAAAAAGAATACACATTTAGATAAATCTATGTAGATAAATAAAATACTTCTCATTTTTATTTTTATCATATTAGTACATTTAATTTTATTAGTCGAATTTTTTTTAACTATAATCAAACAATTTAGTGTGTTTCTACGTCATTTTTAAGAATAAAAAATTTTATATTCACAGTCTGCGCAAATAACCGCTCGTTACGTTCGATAAAGTAGCATATTATGGACTATTTTTGATAGAACAGAATTAAAAGTTAAAACTTTTAATAATCACTTGTAATGATTAATAGAAATAGTCAATGCCAAAAATTTTAAAAATTACCTTAATTTTAGAAATTAAAAAAAAAATATTTCAAAATTATGCTATCATAAAAAGTGGCATTTTTATAAAGTTGTTTTGACACTTTAAAACTGTTATAACAATTTTTTAAAAACATTATTCCTAATAAAATTTTAATAGAGTATACAAGAAACTTATTTCAAATTAAATCTCTTGAAGTGTACTATGATATTACAAAAGAAAAGTCCATTCCATAATTGTTCTACTATAAAATTCGACCGATAAATCATCAAATTTCACTGATAAATAATTTTAGAGCTTTATTTCACGAAAATTTTAATTGTTCATTAAAAAATTTAGTATAAGTTACATACATTATGTATATTAATATATTATAAATAAATATTAATTAATTATTAACAAATGTATGGAAATTAAAATTCAGTTTAATCGTTAATTTTTTGTTTGGTAAAACATTTAATGCTAATGTAGTTTTACAAAACAGGTGGCAATGTGAATTGTTTTTTTTTTTGATAAAAACAAACTCGTGGTTGATTTGTAGTTGCCATTTTATCGATTTACCGTCTTAAATAAATAGTGACTTTTTAATCATAGACTACTCAATTACTAAGATAATAAAAATAACTTATACAAATTTTTTTTTTCTTTAAGTTACATATTCTTGAATTATTAGATATGTTATATTTTTTATGTTCCTTTCTAATGACTTGTACAGGTGTCAACTTTGTTTTTCAAATAGGAACACTCATTTTAAATTAATAATATATTGGAGTTTTTATTTTAATAGTTAATGGCATACGAATTTTTAACATAACTTTTTTCATTTATTAAATATAAAACTTAAGTAGCATTTATATACATTTTTGGTAATTAGATTCAAAATAACATGTCCAACCTTTAGTTAAAATCAGTGACAATCTTAAATGAAGGGTTAAAGAAATTTTGAAGCAACTATAAATATAATTTTGACAGAAAAATGTCACTTTTAAAAAAATACACTATATTTATCCCTGTAGTATTTTGATTTTTTACTTCTATTAGGATTACTTATAAAAATAATTACAAAAACAAAACAAAATATTTTTTAACTTAATAAAAAAACAAGAAACAAAGCTTATACATAGCACCTACATTATTTTCATAAATGTAGTAATTTATTTAAAGTAAAATCATTAATTAGTATAATAGTTTCAAATAAAACTATTTATTAGATGACATTTTACTTCGTTTTCTCATAATAGCTTTTTTCTTCTGTTGATCTCTTTTATATTTGGCTCTAACTTCTGTTTGAATATCTTTCTTGTGCTGTCTAACTCTTATTCTCATATCTTTCCTTTCCTTACGTTTCTTCTCTTTGTACGTAGTACGTATCATTTTCATTAGAGAAGCAACTTGTTCCTCATGGCCATCTCTTACAACAGCCACTCTCTGCTTTTTAAGATCTCTCTTTGCTGTTACTAATGTCTTTGGCTTATCTTTATAAGGTAGCTGAGCTTGTAAATTCTTAGAAATTTTTAATGGCTTGAAGTATTTCATAGTTCTATGAATAGGCTGAAAACAAAAATTAAACATAGAAAAAATTTAAATATTTCAAAATTACAAAATAAAACATACAGTATACATGGAATCTTCTTGTGGAAGTCCTTTGATGCCTTGTTCTCTTTTTAATTGTCCAGTAGTTTTCATTCCACGCCATGAATTTTTATCATGCAGAGGTAGTAATAATGAAGTAACTGGATTATATAATTTTGGTACTTCAACATTATACCATGTGCGACAAAATATAATGTCTGCAGAAATCGACAATTTAAAATAAAATCTTTAAATAACCCATTCATAACACTCACCGCTTATTTTTATTTTATCTTCAAAAGTTGCCCTAAATGAACCTTCTGGTTTAAGACATGCTTTTTTTATTTGTCCACGAATACCAGACACAGTTTTTATACGAGCCCCTTCAAATTTAGTCACTTCCAAGGTAGAATTGAACATATCTTTTACAAAAGCAGTACGTTTATAAATTTTTAAAGGTGTTCCAGTCAATTTTAACTTTTTAGTAACCTGGGTAGATTGATCAGAGTCGACAACTGTTCCAGTAGCTGTTATTCTAAAACCAGACTACCATCAACCAATATTAGTTGTATGTTTTTCAATGTTTTACAAACATTTTAATTTAACATACTTGTATTGAAGCTACATCTTGAACAGCTAGAAATCCTGTTCCTGGTTTAGTTATAGGTCCCCAAATATGTGCCATGCACATTACATGTTCAGGTGTATATTTTAACATTCTACATAAAGCAAAACAGAATAGAAAAAATAAAATGTATTCATTAATTATTAACATGTTTCATTATACCTATATCTCATATTATCCTCTTGTTTAGAATATATTGGTAATGTTTGGAATCTCCTCCAACCCATTGAAATAATTAAAGGATCTCGGTTTTTTAATATTTTATTATACCATCTATGTTTTTTTATTCGCAACTAAAAAGAAATTATTAAAATTTAGTAATATTCATTTTTTTTTTTTTTTAATGTTCAATAAATAAATATTAAATACACAAAATAGCATACTTTTAAGTATCCTATATTTTCTTCACCACTCTGTAATCCTCCAACAATTAAAGGATAAGTTGGATCGAAATTGCTAACCAATTCACAAGGCATTGAGTCCAACTCAAGTCGTACATACATCCCTGCTCTAAAACCTTCTAATAGAACACGAATTTCATCATCCATTCCTTCAAATTGACTTTTATTTAGTTGTGCTTGCCTTGAAGCTTCTTCTTTCAACTCTTCATAATAAGTGTTTGGTCCTCCCTCTTTATCATCATAATCTTCATCAAATTGCTGTTTTAATTTTTTCTTTTTTTCTTTCAACTCTTCTTCAGTTAATGGTTTGTTAGGCTTTTGGATATTACTGTCGTCACTATTATAATCATCATTTACCACTATTTCTCCAGTTTCTAAATCTTCAAAATCACCATATAATTCATCATTATCATTCTCTTCTAGGAGAGCTGCAGCATCTTCACTATGCTTCCATTTTCCGGTAACAAACATATCTCTGATACTATCACAAACCTAAACAATTTTAATAAATAGAATCATTTAAAGATAGTGAAATCTGTACAAAATTTATTACAAAAAGATATACAGAATGACATTTTTATAATAGCTCACTTAACTACTCGCAGAATAAAAATTATTTTTAATTAATTATGTAACATCAATTAGGATTTAGCAACCTAGAAAAAATCAGTTAGTACAAAAATGACATTTATATTGATATAATTTATGTAATATTTTTGTTGACCACATATTTTGAATTTTAAAACACTGTGAGGCAACAATACAAGGTGGATTATAAAAACAATGGATCCCAAAGATAAGAATTATTTTCAAAAAAAAAAAAAGCGAATTATTTTTTTTATAATTCTTATTTTAATGTAAATAGTTATAGACCCCCCTCAAAAAATTTCTTCTGGTTTCGTACCTAGTTTTATCTGTATTATTATTAATTATTATTTATTTATTAACTATTTATAAATAATAGGTTATAAATATATTTCAATAAAACATCTGTTTACCAATACTAATTCAACAATATATAAGTTCAACAAGTTTTAAAGGGAAAGAATTATTGTGTTTGACTTAATTGATGATTATATTGATTTGTAAAACCCAATGTCTTAGTAAAATGAACTATTATAGCATTACTATTTTTCACTTTTGCATCTATGTAACCAAGAGTACATGTAATGTGCCTATTCATCAGCCTCACTATAACCTACATATGTAAATCATATGACCTGTAAAATGAATATATTATACAGAATAATTTTTTTTATTGATTATTGTTATTATTGTTAATTACATATTATTCTTGAATAATTAACTATGTAATACTTTTTACATTAAATTTATCCCTTATGTCTTATTAGGGTATAAACTTTGCTTTTCAAAAAGGAATAATATAATTGAACTATCTTTTTATTAGTGAATGGCATAATATAACACTTTAAAATTTCAAATTTTTGAGTTAAAATACATAAATAATATATGAGGAATTACAAATGCAGGTAACCAATTTTGTTCTTACGACATCTCTATTCACAGAGACACAGAATTTATTGTCAATAATGACATTATCAACAGTATGGTAGTTTATAAGGCACAATGTTGTGAATTAACATATATAAACACACCGACTGGCAAAACAGAAAGCATATCTGTCAATAAAGGTACAATTGACAATAAACATTAATTAGCATGTTAATGGACAGTCACTGCTATAGCAGTCATGTGGATATACTAGTAGAAAAAAGGCACGAGTTGCCTACAACTGCTATAGCAGTTACACTTTTTTTGTTTTCATTGTTTTTGTATCATATTTATAAAGAAAAAAGCTCTGACGCATTTTTTATCTCAAAAAATTATTAATGAGATATAAAAGTGAATCTGTAATTACAGCCAAGAGCGTGACTGCTATAGCAATCATTTCCAGTGATGTTTTAAAAACTAAAAATAAAATTAAAAATTATTTTTCTTCTACGAGTAATTTAATGGTTTGTGATAAAAAATTTATCCTGTATAATTCCAAATTTGACTTTTAAAAACTATCCAACAAAATATAATCATTAATTTACAATATTTACCATAATTATTTTTTATTAAAATTAGATCCAATTCATTTGCAGTTAATTTTAAAAATATAATTAAAAATATGTAAATTATATATTTGCATTACAGTTTTAATTAAACGAAATTACTAAAGACAATGGGTAAAATTTGTTAAATCCATTTGTTTGATTTTAATAAAGTAATTATGATAGTATAGAATTGGAATACCTCTGCTAAATTCCAATCATGATAATGATCTATAATAAATTTAGAGGTATCTTCTTTATCCATATCTTCTTTTTGACTTTGTTTTTTCATATTCTTGATATTAGATAAACGAAACAAGCCACCTAACTCATCTTCATCTTCTTTTATATCATTTTTTTTCTGTTTAATCTCGTCTTCTAAAATATTAAGATTCATTACTTATATTACTATCAATTTTTCAATAATAACTTCTACAGTTTATCTTTAAGAATCAATAACAAAACAGCAAACTTCAATATATAGTAAAAGATATAACAGCAAATTTAAAATAACAAATTTTTTTATTAAAAAAACATTGAATATCAACAGTCAGTTTATTTAATATTTCACATTGCAATTTAAATTATATGCAACAGATATTTTTCATATTTTAAATTCTATTAGTTGATTGTACTCATTTTATTAAATTATTTATAATTTGCTTTATAGCATACAATACTCATAACTTCACATAACCAATTTTATAATTATAATTCTTGTTTGTAAAACAATAATAGAAGAACAGTTCATTGTATACAGAAATATAAGAACAAAATGGTTTAAAATATTTTTTCTATCATATCATTAAACTAAATTTAGGGGTTCCTATTGAAGAAAATTAAAGTTTAGATTTTTTAATCTTGAAGGAATGATAAAAATTATTTAATTTCATATCATTGTAGAGTTCTTTTAATTTTTTCCAAAAATTAAATTTTTCAATAGTTTCCAAGAAAATCAATGTCATATTCTGATCACCCTGTATTTGTTAATTTTAATTAGTTAAGAATATGTGAACACAATATAATAATAAAATTATATCAAATTACAGTAGATATTGATAAACATACAAATATAGTAAATATTATAGAAATAATAACTATGGATAATGAACAATTACTGAAAAAAAAGTATTTATTGTGAATACCAAAATTTTAGGCATATTGAATAAAATAGGTTATGAAGTTAATATCAAATAACAGTACATGGAATTGAAATACTGCCACCCCTACTAGATCTTTCTACCCTTGACATATGCTAAAATAATTTTTCAATTTTAAGATGATTTGCTATTTTGTAGTGAAAAATAAAAATAAAACAAACTATTTTAGTATAAATAATAGAAGAATTAATAAAAAATACCATAAACTAATTTCCATAGATTAGCCATTGAATTCTGTCGCTCATAATAAGCATTGGTGGCTTTTTGAGCTAAATTTTTTTTCCAATTTAATGCTGTGTCTTTGTTAATATCTTCTATTGACTTGTCTATTTTAATATCATTGCATAAAACACCTTTTTCTTTTTCATTAGAATCATCAATATCATTATCACTATATACATCAACATCATCTTGACTTTCTTCATCATCAAAATTCTCATGGCTATCATCTGAATCATCAGAATCTTCATCATACTCTACTTCATCATTAGATATTTCTTCATCTTCATTACTCCATTTTTTAAAATTAGATTCCATGTTTATCTTGTCCAGTTTGGCTAACTCATCAGCAATTTTTTTATGAATTTCATTCTCTTTTCCAAATGATCTTCCATAAAAACGGGACTGATCTCCTAAATTAGTTTTATTTCCAATTTCTTCTTCACTATCAGTCCATACAGAATCAGAACTACTGTTATTTTCATCAGCATTATCATCTTCTTTGTCAGTTATAACATTATCATCATTTAAATCTTCAGAATAAGAATCATCATCAAGATCAGAGAATTTCATATCATCTGAACGGAAGATCACTTTTCGACGTATATGACCATCAATGGGATCTTCAACATTTTCAACTGACATGTTATTGTCTTCAACCATATCAGCACTACAATAAAAATTATTAATGTACTCCATTAAAATATTATTCCTTATTTCAAATTAAAATATACAGAACGATTTGTTTATCATAACTCACTTAATTTTTCGCAAAATAATTATAATATTGAGAAATCATCCTTTAAAACTTATAGCTATGTCAAGTTCATATTTTTGAACGCCAAAAACATATTTAAATAGATTACATAAAAGAAAAAAATAATGCAATTAAGAAAATAACGGGTTGATAATACTTTTGAATTAGTACTTCAACATTTATTAACATTTTTATACGTGGGCAGGAGAAGGAGCATGACTGAGTTATACATAATGATATAATTTATACCTACATCTCTCTCCTAGTTTATATATTTAAATCGTCATAGCATCTGAAGTACTAATTCAAAAGTTGTTGTCGACTAATCATTTTCTTAATTAGATAATTTTATGTTTTATAAACTAGTTAAATATATGTTGCTATTTAAAAAAATTAAATTGCCTCCTCTATATATTATAAGAAATGGTGCTAAAAAGTAATTATCAGCTAATAAATTAAAAAATTGTATGAAAATAAAAAAAAACTACAATTATTTTATCAATTTTATATTTATTTTGGAAGTAATTTAGTAGTATATAATAAACAGATAACCCTATAATTGTAAAAATAAAATTTTAAATAATTGCAAAGAGAGCTAAATTTGTATGAATTGGCATTATTTTTCAGTTTCTATACTATATTATATTCTATACTTATACTATATTTCTAATATAGTATAAGGAAAGTCACCAAATAAATTATATGATAAAAATTTAAACACGTATTAAAACATGTAACTATAATTGCAAAAAAAAACTTGAAAATATTATAGAACACTGAATAATGTCTTTAAAGCTGTTTTAAACTCTGCAATAAAATAAAAAATATTATAAAACCCTATGAAATCGGGGATCATAAATATTCTAAAAAATTTTAAACATATGAATAAAACAATTGAACCCACTTTGATTTCCAGTTTATAAAATCAAAATTAATTAAATAATTGTAAATTTACTCTTCTCTAAAATCAGTTGAAATTATAGGTTTGGTATTTGAAAATAATTGAACTTCACTTCGAGCCATTTTTTGGTCTAATGTTTCTTGTGTCTCGACAATATTATTTACTAGTTCTCGACCGGGTGCTTCTTCTCCAGCATTATTCATTATCTTTATTGTATATTATTTAATATTGTAAATTATAACATTTTGTGATACATAAAGTAAACAATTAAAAATCATATTATTACTTTACTGTGTGAATGGCTTCCACCTAGTTCAACATAAACAGCATCTTTATCATAAACAATGCCACCAACTCCAGAAAAAGGTGCATAAACTAGACGCTCTTTATCAACTAGGCTTCTTTTTTTTGTTTTATCAGGAATAGGACAAGGATCAGGTAAAAAGCACATATCATATATTGCAGAATCTCCACATCCTAAAAATAAAAAAATTACTTTCAAAATTCCAAATATAATAATAATAATTAATAAAATATAAGCAATTTAAAACCACAGTTGTTTTATGTTTTTACAGATAGTATTTATGATTTCAAAAAATGTATTAAGAAATATTTATTAAGTAAATAAAAGTTAAAATTGGCATTATTAGAAAATAATAGTATTCATAGTTATCTTATACCTGGAATATGTACACTACTTTTTTTATTCAATGGAATGCCTCGTACAAAACCATATAAACTAACTCGTCTATCACATTTTTCATCTTGACGAATAGCCTCAGGTGGCGTAAGATCCTCCATACGATCAACTATTACAATTTTATATCACATATCATAAGTATGAACAAACAAGAACAATTACAAAAATAATCAATTTTACCAAGAACATAAGAATGGGAAGTTTGCCAGGTAAGTGGTCTAAATTTCATAACAGATATAAATCTTCCTAAATTTTTTACTTCATTGCGTAAATACTCCCCACGATGTATACCAGATAAATAAAATAACTTTGCTCCAGCATACACTTCAGTCCAAAATCTATGTTTTAATAACTTTTTGGTACGTTTCAAAGCTTTATTATTTTTAAGCATATCTAAATGAGACAAAACACCCATTATTTTAGGCATTCCATGAACCTAAAAAAATTTATAATTATTTTTTGTTTTTTTTTTTGTTTTTAATAAGTACATACTTGGCATATATTTAGAAATTCAAAAATTTCCATTTCAAATCCAAAGGAAGCATCAATCATAAGTAGTACAAGATCTGCTACTTTAGCTAAATCTATCATACTGTTGATATCATTATTACATTCAATTATTGTGATTCGTCTTCTTTTACCAGACACAATGGTAACAGGACCACTAATGGCAGTTAAAGGTTGTCTTGTAAAATTTTTAATTACACAATTAATTAATGTTGTTTTGCCCACTTTAGGAGGACCAACTACAACTACTACAATTGGTGGTGGTTCCAAAGGAGTCCGATCAACTAAAGGTATATGTTGTTTTTTAGTATCTAAGTCTTGAGTTCTGAAAAATTTAAACATAAACCAAAAATAAAATCCAAAAATTAATCATGTTTTTTTAGATTTTCTAAATTACACTGAACAGTTTATACCTAAACAATAAGTTCATAAATTTCTTTAGTCAATTATATAATTTTAAAAACTATTGATAAGAAATTAACCCTTTTAGAAACAATTATTCATTTTTAGTTAAAATGACTCAAAATAAGTCTTTTTGGGATGGGTAACTCTAAGAATGGCTAAAGAACAATTTTCAGAGAAATTTATTTTTCTATTCAAAACTTTTTTTAAATTTGAACTAATAAACTTTGGAAAAAATTTAACTTAATTTTGTTGCTTAAATCATTAAGCATCTTTTGATGTTGAAAGCACTGTTCTTACTATAAATTTACAATTGCAATTTAGAAAAAAAAATTTGATGGGTAATAATAATATAATAGTGTAACGAGGGTCTGGAAGGATTAAACATGAATAATAATATACAAGTGTTAATGAATAATATCTCAGTAAAAAATGTAAACAATTTTTTTTTCTTAAAATTTAAAAATAAATGACAATTTTATGAAATTAATAAAAAAAAATTTGAAATACATTTCCATAAAAAAGGGCAGTATAAATAAATTATTTACAATATTCAGTGATTTATCTATATTTTAAATAATGTAAAGAGTTAGTAATAAAAATCTTCAACTAAACAAACCTTCTAAATCTCCTTTGAGCACTAACCACTGAATTGATAGCAAATGCTTTTGGGTTTCGTTTTTTAGCAGACTCGACATTTTGATCATATTTTTTCTTAACATTATCTTTTTTTTCAGCTTTTCGTCCTAAATATATGAAAAATTAAGAATTTAATAACTATTTGTGAAAAATAATTAAATATGAATATCTTTTACCAGAATGAGGCTTCCGGTGTTCCTTTTTTTTATCATCGAATTCTTCACCCATATTTCTAACATGTAAAACGATAATAAAAGAGAAATTAGTTATTTATTGAAATTCAAAAAACCACGAGTGAAAAATCATTTTTTGAAAACACGTTTTCTTATTATTATTGATAAAACTCTTATCAATGCATTGTAATAAAGAGAAAAAATTGGTTTAAGTTTTTATCAATAGATAGCGTTTTAATTTCGCAAACATAAAATGATTTAAATAGATTATTAATATTGAACAAATAAATAAAAATTTGATTATATATCCACAGAAAAGATGAGATTTTATCTAATCAGTGATCTATCAATAAGTATTCAATGAATAATTAAATTCATTTTTTAATACTTCAATATTTTTTAGCTTCGATGCAAAGCTGAGAAGGTATTGGTTTTACTATGATGTGTTTTTTTTGTGTCTGTTACCACTTTTTCTCATCTCTCACCGAACGGATTTCTTTCAACGATACGTCAAAAGATCACAAATCGTATCTAGTCGAAGACATTACCCTCAAAAATTTGTAATCTAACGTACCCGATAATAAAAAAAATTATACGCTTAATAGTATATTTAGATTAACGTGATTTGGACAATTCAAGTTTGAAAAATTCGAAATTCATACAACTTATATCTTAAATGTATTAGTATCACTTTTTAAATACTTCAGTGACTGCATTGTGCTTAATGTCCAATAAATATTCATCCTAGACACAGCCCTGAAGAGACAACGTTGGGAAATTACCAACCCCAATAAAATTCTTGTTAATTTCTCTCAATTTCCTAAAATTTTATCATAGAAACAATGCAATAATTTGTTTATATGTATAAAAAATTAATTCCGACATAATCAGTTTTCAATATATAAAAATGATTACCTTGTTTTAAATAATATTGTTAGTTTTCCCTGAAAAAAGATTCCAAACTCCAGCATAAAATTAATCGGACGCAAACAATACAATTGACACATTTTTTATCGGAATAAAAATAGCTGCCAGTGTTTACTTCACAAAACTTTGTATTATTGAAGAGACTAATTTGTCCTTGACCGAATACTCAAATCATTTAATAAATAACGAGTTGACGGTTAATTCCACTCATTTACTATATTTTTTGTTATCACTGGTCATCGTATTTTCAATGTACAATCTAAAATAAAAACCAAATTAATTCATGGACACAAGGGTTATATTTTTGTCACATACTGAATTGTAATTATGAGGATCGGATTTTTATTGATAGAAAATATGTGGTATAAATACATTTTTGCTTAAATATCAACTATTTGTCTTGCTGGATAATATAAATATTATCAAAAATTAAAGGAATTGATTTATACATATAAAATAATAATTTTTCGCGAAATTACATTCATTTTTATTTTTAATTTCAGTTTAAAGAATTTAGAAAGAAATCAATATAATTTTTTTTTTATAGATGCTTGATGTCTTTACCTATCATTTGGTATATTTTTTTGTAATTTTGACCCTTTACCTACCCATAGGAGGGGATTAAAAATGACAACTTTTTCAACTTAACATTTGGTCATGTTATGAGAAGAGAAGAATCGGAAGCCGTAAGAACAGTTTTAGAAATGAATGTCGAAGGAAGAAGAGGTAGAGGAAGACCAAAAAAGAGATGGAGAGATGTTTTTTAATGCGATATGAGGACAGCTGAAGTGAGCGTAGAGGATGTGTGAGATCGTATAAATTGAAGGTTTAGGATAAGGGTGGCCGACACCAAGTAGTTGGGATTAAGGCGAGGAAGAAGAATTTTTAGCGATGATATAGATTTGTGAGCATATATTATTTTATTTTGACAACTCTTTTACAAAAAATTANTGCCCACAGGGGGGGATTTAAAATGACAACTTTTTCACAAAAAATTAACTTTTTCAACATAACTTTTGAAAATGTTCCGGAAGGTCTGACACTTTTATATATATCTTAAATTAAAGATAATGTAATATACTTTAATTTAAAAAAAAAAATTTGACCTCTGGACTTGTCTTCGTGGTGAAAATGGCTACCGAATGCTATTTTTGTGTGAAAATTCTCGATATTATTTTTTACATTTTTAACTTTATTATGCTATAACTTTTTGAAAAATATATGGAGCAATACAATTTTTTTATGAGAAATAATATTATTTAATAATCTCTTTTTCATTCGACATACTTTATCTTAATCGAGATATTAATAAGGAACCAGCAGATCAAGTAGCTTTTGGAATGAAACACCAATTTTTTTAAAATTGAACACTATCTAAAAATTTGCATCGAAGCATTTTTTTTTGATAGTGATTTTAATCACTGTCAGATATCATTATATTTGATTCAACTATGCCACGTCACCACTGTGCCGCGACCCCCCTGTGCTGTGTTTTTTTTCTTAAAACTCCCATAACTTTTTCAAAAATAAACAAATCAAAATAATTTTTTTTCATACGAAAACCTTAGATATTTCCCTTTCATTTGATATCATTTTTTTGAAAATCTAACCCTTAACCTGCTCATTAGAGGGGATTTAAAATAGCAACTTTTTTACAAAAACTAACTTTTTCAACTTAATTTTTGAAAATGTTCCGGAAATACTGCGTCCTTTAAACATATATCAAATCAAAGATTATGTTATGTACTATAAAATAAAATAAAAAAATTTGTCCCGACACCTTATCTACTATGTGCAAACTGTTGTCGAAATTTTAAAAAAAATGTAATATTTGCGATAAAAATCACCTTCTATAAGGATGTTTTTTGTACTTAAAACTGCCATAACTTTTTCAAATATTAACAAATCAAAATATTTCTATTTAATAACGTCAATTTCAAACTTGCAAATTGAGCTACTTGTTATGGTAATAAATTCATTTTTTTTTTTTAATAAAACTTTAACTTTAAAGGACAATAAAAAATAGGTTCAAAATTATTACTTTTAACATATTAAAAATCAAAATCAATAATAATTTGAAAACAATTAATTTTAAAAATTATATAATATATAATTAAAAGAATTACTAATCTGGGTATAATTAAGGAAATAGAAGTTGATGTTGCTTTGTAATTATCCATCAATTTTTTAAAATTAAACACTATCTACAGATTTGCATCGAAGCGTTTCTTATGATAGTGATTTTAATCACTGTCAGATTAAATTTATACTATGCCGCGACCCCACTGTGCTGGGTTTTTTTCAATTAATTCCTATGCTTGATATAGTCTTAATAACTTTAGGATACGAGAACTATAATTACAATATGCACGTTCTAATTACATAAATTGCACAACAGTAGTGTTGGTGTTCAGGAAATGAATGACAGAGTCCGTTGACCGAATCATTTGTAAACGATATAAACGCCACGCGAATAATCTATGAACTGAATTAATAGTTGCCGTTCATCTTTCTGTACCGTTCGGGACACATTCGGCGCGTTTACACCACACGGTTAACTGTTGTAACGCGTCTGTTGTAACCATGGCGACAGTTGCATGCAAACGTGTTACTAACATTGAAATTTATTCATTCTAACCTCACCACCACACAGAAACGAACACTGGCGCGTTTCTTAGATCGCTATTATTTTACCGCCATACAGAGAGGTTAAGAAATAATAACATCTTAAGTTTTAAGTTGATTAAAATAAGTTTAAATGCGATGGATATTTCGAAGAAATATTTATACATTTTATGTAAAAAATAAAATAATAGAATAATTCAATCAAAATTTACGTTTTTCAACTGTAAAAGTATTAAATTTTTATTAATATTATATGAAAATTTGCGAAAACGCCGGAAAATATTTATTATAACAATCACAACTAATTATTCTAATCGCATTTTGCTAACTTTCATTCCCGGGTTATCATAATTTTTTAATTTTTTAAAATAGTTAATTTATTTTATTTAGTAATTATATTTTAACAAATATAAAAATCCGCAATAAACACAAACCATAATTTTGAAAAGAAAAAAATATATTTCTATAATACAGAAAATCACATTGATATTAAAAACAAGTTTTTACATTTAAAAATAATACTAAGGTTACATTAATTGTACGACTGAAAGCAATTATGTGCTTTCACAAACATTATTTTAATAATTCTCTTATTCTATTATATGTGTAATATCTTCTATTAAAAATTAATTAAAATATTGAACTAATATACAAACTCTAGTATATTAATTCAAAATTTCAAGAATGTTTTGCAAAAATAATATAATAAAGTTACATTGTTCAGCGTTTAATGTGTTTCATTAATATAATATTAACTCGTAAGAATATCATTATTTATTTACGTGTGTAGTTTGTTAGACAAATAATAACTAATATCTGGTTGTTTAAAATTAATAACGATATCATTACTGGTGTAAAAAATATCGGGCCTGTCACAATGCTCATTAATTTAATGTTTCTGGAACGACTCGTTATCAACTAATAGGTCGTATTTGTCAAACTCGCACAGAGTTATATAAGAGGAATGTATTTTAATTAAATACTTTTCGAATTTATTGGATTAAAACTTAATATAATGCCATTATTAAGCTGGAGATTATAGTTTGTAAGTACCCCATTTAGAATAATTAAAAAAATTAAATTAAATTAAAGACGTAAGAAAAAATTTATCTAAATAAAATTTCAACTATTGGACTAAAAATTTCCAATTTTTCCGTAGATTATTACAAATTATGGAAAAGTTTTAGAGGAAAGCAAATAAATTATTTTTCAAACCTCTTTATCATCATACATCTATTTTCATTATATGTTATCAGTTAAACAGTTATAGGGACAAAGACATTAATAAAGGTTCAATAAAGAGAGAACATCCCAAAGCAGAAATTTTATGAAAATTTCGGGGGAATAAAAACATATGTATTTCTTAGGTAGCTCAATAAATGAAAAAAAAAGGTCGTATAATAATAAATTTTAGGAGGATTCAGTCATTATTTTACATTTTCAGGAACTCACCCTCATATATTTCACCAATGAAACTTCCTTTAGCTTTTATAACCTATATACTTTATATAGAAAATTTTAACCTTAAAAATTTAATAATAATAGTTAAAATTAGAATAACCCACATAATAACAATTTGTGGTACATTATTAAAGAGTTGTCTCTTACATGATAATTTATTAATATATAAACATTTTCTTTAATCTTAAGTTAAAAAAAAATCCCCCACCTTTCTTTCAAATTTTAACCTTTGGTTACAAATTATAATTTATAACTGAGAGAATTATTTAAAAATGCTGAAATAAATAACCATTTTATACAAAGTCCTTGTTTAATCCTAGAGCTAACTAAATTAAATTTAAAATGGCTAATAAATTATTTGGAAAAATCGTATGAATTGTTACATTGTCCGCTAAACCGCAAAATTTTAACAAATAATAATCTAAGTACTATGACATTTCAGTGCATTTCGTTTTATATTCACTCCGTATGCTGTAGGCCGCTGTAGTAATGCATTGCGCCGCCCACCATCGGTGAATAATATATTGTTGTGCTCACAACGTGTTGCATGTTTACGTTTGTGCCAAGCGCCTAGTAACTATTCAGTAGTTTCTCGTCTGTCGGCTGTTGCGTATCGTAATCTGTATACCTTTATCCCGTTCGCGCGGTCGACTACCATTCAAAATAATTCGTTAGTATCATCTTCATAATTTAATTTTCATAGTTATCGATCACATTTCACCATTTCAATACTGACTCGGTACATCGTCATTTCAAGAATACTTGATAACGATTAAATAACTATGGACCGTTTAAGAGTGATAAGCAAAGCCCGGCGTATATTTTATACTGGTCCCGTTCTACGCAAGTCCAGCTGTGGGATAAGACACACGTGGCATTCGCTTCAACGGTTCCGGACATATAGTAGCTCTGGATCTATAATTCTAGAATCACCTTTTGGACCAGTAGATAATGTGGACACAACCCTTCCCGAGTACATATGGGCCAACATTGATAAATGGGAAGACAAACCGATGATAGTAAGTCGCTGATATCACATAACACATTTTATGTACCTTTTTGAAATCTGATCTATTTAATTCGTTTTCTGTTTTTGTAAAAATAGAAATATTTCTATTGGAAAGACTTGCTTATTAGATTAACTTGTTATTCTGAAAAACTGTTTTTTTCTATTGATATAAATTAGTCGTGTATTTCTAACTTCATCACACGACATTGATTAGAATAATTTTTTTAACTAAAAGATACAGTCGTTACTTATAAACACGTTATATTAATAAATATATAAGTTGAATTTTTCTTCAAATAGAATAGCTTTTGTTGTGACGTTCCTTATATGGAAGTATCTAAAGTTATTTTATAATGTCTACGATGTTTTTGAAAGAAGGCCAAATTTTGAACTGGAAAAATAAGTTGAATATTCACGATATCTAGAACTATCTTAAATATGATTATAATTGATTGTAAATAAGTGTTATGTGTAGGTAGTTAACGTTATTTTTATCAATTTTACTATTTAAAAAAATTAATCAATCAAATATTAAATACCATAAAATTATTATATTTTTTTTTGATAAACATTATTTTTCAAGTTAGTATTTTAATCATTACATAAATATTTAAAAGCGTATATTGGCAAACAACACTGGCTGGTTATTCGCCAGTTGAACGATCCCTTTTTGAAAACTTTTTTTATTTACTATTAATAATTATTTTTTCATGTTTTATTTTTGTCTGCCGACTTTTAGCTTGTTATAAATATTGTTTTCGTAAACTTACTAAAAGATTTGTCTATGTAATTTTTATATTTTCAGAAATATTTATATAAATAATATTTGTTAGAATTAGATACTCCATTGACTAAGCGTGTAAAGTCCACGTCCGACGGTCTTATAAAATGCCGAATAAACAAATATTTTCTCATTTCTTAAATTAATGTTAAACTATTAAGCGAACAAATCGGCTTTGTAGTTATAATTAAATACATTTTTTTTAAATTACTATAATTGTTGCTGTTGTAAATTCTCGCCGTACTTTGGACTGCTTGTTATTGTTTTATTTCGGTGTTCTGTACCTTACGCGTCTGAGCGAGTAGAGAACAAGTACTTTCATAAAAAGTCGTGGTTTGAAGTCCAAAAGAATTGTAATTAATTTACCTTGAATGAAAAAATACATTTACATTAATTTTATGGACGTTAATAGAGAGACAATAACCTTTACCTACTGATAAATCTTACTATAAAAACCAATTAATACTATAAAATAATTAATATTGTGCACACGATTGATTTATTTTGTTTACATATTTGAAGTTTTTCTATAATACAGCTTGATTATTATTTTTGGTCATTTAAACTAATATTGAATTGCTGATCTCGTATTATTTTAATTTTTCACTTATTATTTAATTTATCTAACGTAAAAACTTTAGAATATATACTTTTATTTACGTATGAACTCTTATAGATAATGATTAACTAAACAGAATTTATTTTAGAACAATTAAAATTTGTACACAAAATGAAATTTGCACTTTGATATGTTTAAGTAACATGCCAATATTAATGAATTAAAGGAATGATGTACTCACAAATAGAATGATACTCCTATGATCATAAATCAATTAATTAAACTAATTAAAACGGCATCTATTGGGTTATTAGGTGTAAAATGCAATTCAAAATAAAAATCGTATCAATTATCAAACAAATATTTATAATAATTTAATTTAAATTCGTTGTAAAGTGTAAAATTAAAAAAACTATTGACTTCATTTATAATCCGCTTGATGTTTGTAAAATTTAACATGGATGGGTATTTATTATTATTATTTTTAATTATGTTTAACGTCCTCCCTAGAAGCTATTGCTTGTTCTAGAGAGGACCGAGGAATCTGCATAGCCCAGCGCAACAAATTCGAACCGCGGTACCCGTACTGCAGCTTGACGCGTTGCCGACTGATCTAGGTAGGCCGCCTAAATATACAGAATGTTCATTAAGTAAGGAAACAGGTCAATTGTTACAAACTATGAAAATACTATAAACGTTTCCTTACTTACTGAACAGCCCTTATATAATATAACTATATATGTTATATTCTAATTTACCTTTGCAATATTATAAGTGTCGTATGAGCCCGAAATATTAAATAGTATTAAATAATATTAATACTAATGTATTAATATATATTAATACATTAGTAATGTCTTTTGCAGTTGCACGATTGTCTAAATGATCAAATAGAAAATTTTAATTATATAACAAGTCAATATTTGTTTAAACTTAGAAGTCATTGAAATTTATTTAGATATAAATGTTATTTTGTTAATTATCAGGCATGGATTAAGTGAAGGGGTGCGATCGTCCAGGGGCCCCATATAGGTTTTGATGTACCACCTAATACTATGTAATATTTATGTTCAGTAATAATTTATGAAACTTTTTCTATAGAATAATTTATTGAATTAATACTGCCGTGCTAAGCGAAAACAGGATAACTCCAGTCAACATGATTTTTCAGGAACACAAAAAAACATTTCTAATAGTAAATCAAGATACCCTTTTTTCCCAATGTATAAACATAAGTCAAAAGACGGTAACTCCATTATTTTTTATGTGATATACCAAGTTTTTGCTTAGTATTTGAATTTACTGTGTTTTCGCTTACAAAACATCAAATATATTGAACTTGCCGTATATTTATATTTTAATTTTAGATTGGTTTTAATAGGAAATATGCTATTTTTACATCAAAAATCGGTGTAAAACCACTAAATTTACCTATAGAAACAAAAAAATTTTTTTTTTAATTATGGAGTTATCCTGTTTTTGTTTAGCACGGCAGAATAGAAGTATGGTAACTTCTATTATTCCACTCAAGTTATGAAATAGACGAACTTGAGTGGATTTCAAGACGTATATTATACGTTTTGAAATCGGTAGTTAATTACTTTTGATATCATATTTTATTTATAGAAGGCTAAAAATATTTAATGTATCAGACCTTGTAGTATATATTTGCAGTGTCAAGATGACTATGAAGTTTACAACGTATATAAAGAAATCTCACCTGTAAAATTATTTTACACTAACATGTACTGTTAAATTTTTCCTTAAGTAGATCACTTGTTTTTATCTGTGAACAGTGTTAACAGTAGTATTAAGAACGTAGATAAAGAAGTAAAACATTTGCTCAGAAAATCGTAACATACTTATTGTAATAATGACTTCGCAATTGAAATCATAAAATTTGCTTTTGTTAGACACACGAGTTGTTCTAGATTTAATTGACAACTACGTTCTCTTAATATGCATTCGTCAATAATTGATTAATTTTTTTATAAATTGTTACTTTGGTCAACTTATATATATTTGCAAAGCTTAAACCGTAATTAATTTTCCTTTATATTCAATGATGCATAAGATTTTCTTTTAAGAGAAATTAAACTTCTCCTTGGGTATATAAATAGAATTTCTTTCAATTTAAATGAAGAATTATTGTTGTTGTTAATTTATCCCTTTCATTTATAATTTTTTTTAGCTTCGATGCGAAGCTGAGAAAGTATTAATTTTACTATGATGTGTTTTTTTTATTTATTTTTTTTGTGTCTGTGAACGCTCAATTTCAGCTTTCGTCGATTTTTAACTTCAGTTTAGTATAATCGCATTGTGTTTATCTTCAAATTATTTAATAATAGTTATGACTATTATTTGATTCCTAGATGCTTATTAGACGTATGTTGTATTAAATGACCTTTGTAACTACTTTGTTGAGTCTGCATCAAAGTTACTCATTTTCCGGGTTTATTATTAATGAAAGTATTAAGAAAAGATTACAGCTGTATTTTGTAGTTAATATGATATAATAATGCAACTTCTGAGATATTTCAACTGCCATATATTTTCATTTAAGTTAACCTACTTTAACTCATTAGTAAAAGAGCGCGTGTTTTTTAAGTTCAAAATGGAATTTTTAATTTAAAGTTAAACGTGTCCCTGTTTGACATAAATTTTAATATATAATGTTCAGTAAGTAAGGAAACGGGTTTCTATTGTTCTCATTGTTTGTAACAATTAACGTGTTTCTTTACTTATTGAACACTCTATATAAGTATCTATGCCAAAAATTTATAATTTTTTAAACAATATGGCAAGTTTGTTTTTTAGATGGCAATGACAAAAAAATAATACACCATAAGCTTATTAAGTTTTAAGGTCTTAATCGAAAAATACTGTCATAGGGCCAACTTTATTTCTAGAATACCTTGATGCCTCAATATTTTTGTTTTCGAATACAAAATGAAATACATTATTACTCATGAACTAATTTTTGATACTAAATTTAGATAAAACATGTTTCTTAGTATAAATTAAATTGAATTGAGATTCTATGCTAGTTGAGTATAACATTTGAATCCTACAAAATTGAAAGATTTTTAGGTGAAATTTATATTACTTTGTTTAATAATTATAATTTGATTGGTAAATTGTAATAGCTAATATTAGATAAGCTAGGAATGGGAGTCTTATTTGTTTTAATGTTCATTTTTATTTCAACTGTTGTATTTCAAACATTTTGCGTGAGATATATATTTGAATTAAAAAAGGTCATGAAATTGTTTAAAATGAATTATTTATCTCATTTAAAAACAATTTAAATTTAATTTTAAATTTTAAAATAATTATTAATTTTTATAGTCTAATAAAATCGAATCTACACATACGTAGAATAATTATATTATTTTATTATTAATGTACTGCGATAAATAAAAAAGTTTTTTGGTGTAAAATTTATAGAGATTGACTAACCAATAAAAAAAAGTTCGTTATTAAATTATAAATAAAAAAAAAAATAGAAAATATGATTTCAATGAAAAGTTATGGATTTGATACTATAAGTAAACACATAATTACGGATAATGTTATGAGACTTTTGCCTACGTAAATAATTTTTGTATGACCCAGCAACATCATAATAATGCACTCGTATGGAAATTTCTTAGAATGTTGTGCAGGTCAAGCTCATACAAGAACAAAAATAACATTTATTTGTTAACAAAATTATTCTTAATCTTAAAAAACAATTAAGTAATGATTTATATGCACATTTTTTTAAGATATTTTTTGTAACTTACTAAGAAGAAATATTTTTCTTTATAAAAACTTAGGTTATTGCATTATTTTAAAACAATAAATAAAACCTCAACAAATGCTTTTATAAAATAAGAGCATTAAACAAACAAATTTTATTAGTTTATTACATATAACACTATAACATGATCAGGTTGAAAAATTCAAAGTAGTTAATTACTGTGGCAAACCCAACCCAATCTACTATAGTAATTAGATAAATCATTCAAATGTTATTGAAGGATAATTAGCTTACAGAGAATCTTTTTGGTATTCTAGGAACTCATTCCACATCTGGATATTATAAGCCAACTTAACTGATTTTTAGTAATATTTAAAACTTTAACTTGTTGATGCGTAGATCTACTTACAGACTTCGAAGTGATATCTTAAAGTAAACTCGTATCTAATGAGAAAGTCCTATCTGAAAAGTTCTCTTTTTTTACAGTTTTGTATGACTGAAAAATGTTCTGCTGTAAAAAAATTTGATGATACCTAAAGAAAACAAAATTTAGTATGTAATTTTAATAAAGAGTGCAATGTCATTTTCAACATGACCATCGATGTAGTGTTGCAGGTGAGTAAGTTGGTAAGTAAGTATGGGTACTTGCAAAATCAAATAGTTCTGAGTAATCTTATCACTTTTTTTAGAAGCCTTTTACATAAATTATCAAAATTATAGTTTTTAAATCGTAGTTCTACTTTTCAAGTTAGACCTACTGATTGCAACATTAAACATACTGATATAGCAAAACTTAAGTTTACGCTTTCTCATTCTGCAAGCTTATTTTAATTACTGATAATAACTATATCCTTGGTTATATTGATTTTTTTTACTTAATAGATAGATATATTCGTAGTCTAAAAAATGATAACATAACAAAAATTTTATCATGTAATCGAAAAATTTATCAATGTTTGTCAATGCTGATTCATACTTTAATAGAGAAAACATACTAATATTAATATATAACACATAAAACATACATATATAAGCTGCTGGCTTAGAAGAAATGTATATAAACTATTTATGTTAAATTTTTAACATCAATAAAATCCAAGTCCAAGTGTTCACAAAATAATTTATTAATTTTTATTTATAGAATTATTTTTGATTTTTATAGACTTGTGGCAGTAGTGGTAGATCGTATACGTATGGTGAAGGTCGTATGATATGTAGACTTTTTGCCAGTACACTTATTTCTAAACTTGGTTTGAAAAAAGGCGATGTGGTTGGTTTACTACTTCCTAATTTACCAGAATACGTTTTTGCCATTCACGGAGCTCTCGAAGCCGGATTAGTAGTAACTTTTGTGAATCCTCTTTACACTGCAGGTATGAATAGTCAACACTATATTATTAATATAATATATATATTATATACTAATATAATGTATTATACTATATTAATATAACACTAATATTATTGGTGTTCTTTTATTAATTTAAATTTATAATTTTTAGGAGAGGTAAAACGTCAGTTTGAAAACGCCGGCGTGAAATTGTGCATGACTATTTCGTTGTTGTTGCCTGTTATTCAAGAAATATCGCCATCATTGCAGAACTATAGAGGTACGGTTGTTTTTGGAGGTGACGAAGTTGCTGATGAGAAATCTCGTATTTATGATTTTAAAACAATTGTCACGGGCCAGTCCCCTGAAGAGTTACCAGAATCACATCCCGATGAAGTCGCCTTATTGCCATACTCAAGTGGTACTACAGGACTTCCAAAAGGCGTTATGTTGACTCATCGAAACTGTGCAATTAACTTAGAACAGAGCAAGCACTCTGAACTCATAAACTATATACCCACTTCTGGTAAGTATTTTTAAATGTTTTTGATACTATCTTTGTTTTACAAAGTGTTTTTGCATAATGATTATACTTAAGGAAATTTTGCTAAACAATGTTTAGAGAGATAAATGCATCTTTCCCAAATGTATGTACAATATTAACCTGAATTTATATTTGCCATGCAATCAATTAGTAAAATAATATGATAACATCATTTTTGTACGACAGATGATTACCAAGAAAGAATTCTCAGTGTTTTACCATTTTTTCATATTTACGGTTTCAATGGTATTTTAAACGGAGTATTATCTTACGGTCTTCATATGATCACCATACCGAAGTTTACTCCCGAATCCTATATTGAGTGTGTGCTTAAGTACAAGGTACAAATAATAAATAAATAAATACTCAGAATTTATTAAATAATGCTGCAATACTTAAAAAATGATATATATTTTTATTGTAGCCAACAATGTTATTTGTTGTACCTTCTTTACTGTTATTCTTGGCGTCTCATCCATCAGTAAAGCCGGAGCACTTAAGTTCTATTAAAGAAATTACATGTGGAGCAGCTCCTGCTTCAAAAGCTCTCATCGATAATTTCATACAAAAAGCTCAAAAAGATATTATTATTAGACAAGGTAATAAATCAAATTTATAATTCAATGATACACATATGTTAATTTGGAATCCTATAAGAATTATTACCACTGGTTTTAAAATTTGTGTTATTTTAACGTGACTATATAAACTTAAAAATTTTAATTATTTCAAAAACTTAAATGTAGGTTATGGTATGACCGAGTCGTCTCCTGTAAGTTTGTACACAAGGTTTAAGTTGCCTCAAAACAAAATTGGTAGTACGGGACAACTGGTCCGAGGAACTCAAGCAAGAGTGGTGTGTTTATCTAGTGGAAAAGATTTGGGGCCTCATAAATCCGGAGAATTATTTGTTAAAGGGCCACAGGTAATTTATAGTAACTTTCAATGTTTATTACAAATTGTTGTTAGAAATATATATAAAATAACTATTTAACTACTTCTATTTATAATATCATATCAATATGGTGTTCACTTTAAATTTATGTTTCATTATCATAGGTAATGGTTGGTTATTTAAACAACAAACCAGCCACAAATGAAACAATAGATGAAGATGGTTGGTTACATACAGGTGATGTTGCTTATTATGATGAAGATGGGTATTTCTACATTGTAGATAGAACAAAAGAACTAATTAAAGTAAAAGGCAATCAAGTAAGTAAGGAAGTATATAACTCCCTATCTTTTCGTGGAACTTGAATTTTTAATATAATTTAATTTATTGCTGTGCCCGGACCCAGTTTAGTTAATGAAAGATAAATAAGTTTCATCTTTGCAACAAGATGAGTAGGGTTCTAACTCTCTCTTTCAGCTTTTAGGAGTTCTACTACTATTTCTTTTAACTTGATCAAAATATATTTTAGTTATGAGGGGTTTATAGAATATATATGCTTCTTTTAGATTTATTTATAATTTTATGAAAATGAATTATATATTTATTTATATTAATGAAAATTTTACTTTTAAAAAATAATTTTGAAGGTTTCTATGAAAAAATCTATTTCAATCCTTCTTTAATAACCAGAAAAATAACAATATTTAGGTACATTAAGCTAAATTTGAGATTTTTTTATTAATTTTTATATTATAATAATACCAAGTATTTGAAATTAATGATCAATTAATATTTGGGTTTATTTTTCTGAACACTGCACAACATATATTAATATAAGAATTTATTTATGGAGTGTGAGAGGATCACTCCTCTTAGAATAAAAAAATGTTCCTGTGGTACTTTACATATCTATCATAATCATAAACAAGGTTGGGTGCTCAAACGAGGATTAAACAAATTTTATAAATGCTTAAAATTCCTAGCCTTTATATATTTAAGAAAATTCTTTAAGATGTATGTATTTTAAGATTAAGCTAAAGGGTGTAACTAAAAAAAAACTCTATATTCAAATTTTTTTATTTACCCTTTTTGATATATATTTAGATTTTTATTTAGCCTAATCATAGATGTATTAATTTTTATAAAAAGTATATATGTGATAGTCAACAATTATTAAACAGAAAATTCAAATTAAAAAAAAGAAAAGACTTAATTGAGAAAATTTTTAGCTTCGATGCAAAGCTGAGAAGGTATTGGTTTTACTATGATGTGTTTTTTTTTTTTTGTGTCTGTTACCACTTTTTCTCAGCTCTCACCGAACCGATTTCTTTCAACGATACGTCAAAAGATTACAAATCGTATCTAGTCGAAGACATTACCCTTCAAAATTGAAAAAATTTCCCTCGTTCCCCGTAAATGGGGGAAACCTCCAAAAAAATTACAAATTTAAAAATCGCTAATTTTCGAAATTTTTTCAATTTTTTTTACTAAAAACTGCCGTAACTTTTTCAAAAATGAACATATCAATATAATTTTTTTTTTATAGATGCTTAATGTCTTTACCTATCATTTGATATATTTTTTTTGTAAATTTGACACTTAACCTGCTAAAAGGTGGGGATTTAAAATGAAAACTTTTTCACAAAATATTAACTTTTTTAACTTAACTTTTGAAAATGTTCCGGAAGGTCTGACACTTTTATATATATCTTAAATTAAAGCTAATGTAATGTACTTTAATTTGAAAAAAAAAAATTTGACCTCTGGACTTGTCTTCACGGCGAAAATGGCTACCGAATGCTATTTTCATGTGAAAATTCTCGATTTTATTATTTATATTATATTTAACTTTAAAATGCTATAACTTATTGAAAAGTTTATGGATCCACACAATTAATCGAGATATTAATAAAGAACCAGCAGATCAAGTAGCTTTTGGAATAAAACACCAATTTTTTTTAAATTAAACACTATCTAAAGATTTGAAAATCAATAATAATTTAAAAGATTAAAGCAAAATTAATTTATAATGTAAAATTACCAATTAAATGATAATTAAAATTTGAAAATATTTATTACAAAATATTTTATACTGAGATTAAATACTATCATCCTAGATAAACATAATAGTCTAGACTTAAATTCCCTAAAAAAATATTGAAAAATGTCTTTAAAAACTTCTAAAAATGTTATAATACTTCAAGAAACATCATTTCTTTTAATTATTTCTTTAATATTTCTATATAAATGTACAGGTATTTTCACCTTATTCCCACGATTGGGCCTAAGAATATTTGTATACATAACATAAAAAAAGTAATACATATCAAAAAATCTCCATAATTTTTCTGATTATACTTTTAATTTACCTAATTTTTGTAAAAAAAAAAAAAGTAATTTTTTCCAAATTATGCTTTAAAAAATATTAAAATGACAAAAATACCTTAAAAATTTAAATTGTAAAATTAGTTTTTTTTTTAATTATTTATTATGTAAATCTAATTTTGTGTTCAAAGACAATTATCTAAGATAATCCTAATAAAATGCTTTATATATTGAAAACTGGGCCTTAAATATCGTATTACAAAAGATCTTGCCTATAAATGACAACACCGTTTTTTTTTTTTATTAATTCTAAATAATCTTCAGGTTTTTTTTATTTTAAAATTAAAACTACATGTATAATTTTGGAATTAAATTTAATCATATCAAATTTGCACTTAATATAATTTATTTGAAATAATTTTTTGTACATTAAATTAAACAACTTGTTCGGATTCAATTGTATCAAATGGATGATAAATCATACAACAATTACTAATCCAAGTAATTTCAACATTAACCTAAACAGTCAAGAAATACATTTATAAGGTCTATTATTTACTAAATCTACTCATTCTCAGTCAATTTTTCGTCACTTGCATCTTTCATTTCTGTAGTTGTGTATGACTCAGTAATTCCACTTTCATTTATATCTGATTTATTGTTTTCTTCATGAACATTTTCAATATTGTTAGACTCCAAATAATTTTGTGAATTATTTGCTTCTATTACTGATTCATTTTTAATTGAATTTTCGCTCTCTCTGTTTTGAACCTCTGTAGAATTAATACTGTGTAAATCATCATTAGCTTCTTCATTATTTAATGTCTTTGAATTATCTTCAGTACATATATCCATATTATTTTGTTCTTCATTTATTTCCTCCAAATCATTTGATTGTATGATTTGAGAATCTTGCTTATTATCACAATCTGGAGTTTGATGAATAATAGAACCTTCTATCCGATTGGGTTCAGTAACTAATAAGTTGAGATCTTCTATCTTATTTTCTTCTGAAACTGGATCATTTACACTAGATTCTCCACAATTTGAGATTATTTCATTCGGAAGATCTTTACAATCATCTAATGGACTTTTTATTATTTCATTATTTAATTCTCTGGATTTTGTTTCAGTAGTTTCTTGTAGCTCTTCTTTAGCTTCATCTGATGAAAGTTCTTTTTCATTAAATTCTTTAATTTTACTTTGAGGTTCTTCTGTTGTATGTGAATTTGGTAATGAAAGGTTATCGGGTTGTTGATCATTGTTTGATTCTTTGGGATTAAATTCATTTTCTTCTTGATTTGACACTTCATTAACAAATTGTTCTTTATTTTCCTCTGGCTTTGTTTCTGGTGTTTTCATAGATTCTAATTCACTTAATAAACTTTCAACAGTTTCATTTGCATTAAGAATATTAACATCAGTACTAATTATGTTATTCTTTTCAACAAAATCCATATTTATATCAGTTTCTTTACCATTTTCCCAACGTTCTGGGATGCCATTAACAATTGTTTCATCACGTTTAGCTTTTAAATCACATGTACTTACAACTAATATATTTTTTTCTACAGCGCGCATGAACTTATCTACCCTATTATATTCTTTTCTTGGCGTAGATAAAAGTTCACATAATCTTTGAATTGTAAATGGAGGTCCATTGAATGTATCAAAGCGTTCTAACAACATATTCTTCATTGCTTCATAATTAAATGGGTCTACATTTGGATATGGAGGTATATCAGCTAAGCAAGTTTGTTCAGTAAACTGTGCAATGACATTTAAGATCTTTTCTCTGATAAATGGTTTTACAAGAGTCCATTGGAAAAGAGTATTACCTGTTTTAGCGACATACCGAAGATATTCTTCAAGTTCAACAGGGACTTGTTGTTTATACATTTGATACATTTCCAGCATTTGCATTATTAGTTCAGCGTTTTCGATCATTGTAATTATACATATATTTTATAATTTTCAATTTTTCTAATGATTGTTTTAATTATAACTGTTTATTAATTTTCAAAACACTTGATGACTTTTATTGGTAATGAAAGTTAGTAAATCAATGTAAACAACAACCAGGCCGCTTCTACTCGTATGGAAGTAAAATGTACAGCTACAAATTATTAAGAATAAAGATAAGAAAAACAATAACGAGTGTCGGGCGCATGCGCTGATCATGGAAGAAATAATACATTTTTAAATGTGTACACTGCTAAAATTTGTTACACTGCTTTCTCCATAATGATCGATAACTTAATGCTAATATTGGTATTGTTATTTCTTATGAAAAAGCAACTCCCAAATATAAATACGAGTTTACTACTGTTCATAAGAACCGTGTTTTTCGGTGTATCTTAATGTATTATATAGTCATAAATATATTAATTTTACAATATTTTATGGGGAATAAGATCTTTGTATTTTTTTGAAAAATGTGATACAATTTGATAGGTAAATAAATATAGTATAAAAAATTAACAATATTAAATATAGACGTTAATTTTTATATATAGTTAAAATTTAGTTATTTGTAACAAAACTAATTCAAAAATTATTAGATAATTTTTTGAAATTAAATTGCATGTTAAATAGGGGTCTGCCTAGCCTAGTGATTTAAACGTATATATCGACACATGGAATCCCCGGTTCGATACCCTGGGTGCCAACGAGATTTTCTTGTGAATTTTTTATTGATCTCTGGTTTATGACATAAGCCAGCCATAATACTCGTTTAGTCCATCATTAGCCTAGCCAAGAACCCTCTTTTACTCCCTAACATGTGAAAGAGGGCCACCACCATTCGAAGCATGTTAAGTTCGGGAAATATAAGAATATAAAACTAATAATTTATTATTTCACATTAAATATTGATGTTTCTCTAGGGATTGTATAAAAAAAATTTAAAGAGGTGCCTTTAAAATTTTAGACATCACAATCATTTCTTTTTTATTGCTTATTAAATATATAACGCTGGACTAATATTTATTTGGTTTCATAGTGAAACCAAATATTAAAAACCCAGGTAGGTCACAGCACAGTGGTGACGTGGCATAGTTGGATCAAGTATAATGATATCTGACAGTGATTAAAATCACTATCAAAAATAAACGCTTCGATGCAAATCTTTAGATAGTGTTTAATTTAAAAAAAATTGGTGTTTTATTCCAAAAGCTACTTGATCTGCTGGTTCCTTATTAATATCTCGATTAAGATAAAGTATGTCGAATGAAAGAGGGATTAATTTTGATGTCTGTGTTTTCACTGTGAAGACAAAATAATAGTCTGAAATTTTTTTTATTTCATAATAAAGTATATCACGTTATCTTTTAATTTAAGATATATATAAAAGTGTCAGACTTTCCGGAACAATTTCAAAAGTTAAGTTGAAAAAGTTCTACTTTCTATATACATTTTTTAGATTTGACCCCCCCTCCCCCCGTATACAGGAAAATGGTCCGTTTAAAAAAAAACAGTATGTCGAATGAAAGATGTATATAAATACTACTTCTCATATTAAAATTGTATTGATCTATACACTTTTCAATAAGTTATAGCATTATAAAGTTAAAAATATAAAAAATAAAATCGAGAATTTTCACACAAAAATAGCATTCAGTAGCCATTTTCCTCGTGAAGACAAAATAAAGTCTGAAATTTTTTTTTTTAAATAAACTATAAATAGTTTTATTATAAAAATAATTTAATAAGAATTAATAAGCTCTTGAAAATACATACAAAAAAAATTCTTTATTTATAATTTATGGTTACAACAATTAATTAGTATATTAATTGTATTATGGTATAATATATTATATAAGTAATGGAAATTAAGCTATGATTAAATACAATAAACCAACTAAGTAAAAACACAACACAGTAGAGATGTCAAGTTCGTGAACGAATAGTTCATTTGAACTATTCACTTAGATGAACTATTCTTAACTGTTTCAGTACCTGTAACTTAACAATTCACAGTTCGAAAAAAATTGGTAGCAATGTATAAATGAAATAGTTCGCGAACTTCTTTAAAAATTCTCCGTGGTTCGTTGTTCGAAATCCTGTAAATGGTTAATAGCTGTTAACAATTAGATAACAAATAAATTATATTGTTAAAATGTTACACGGTTTTTAACAGTTTAACAATAAAATAAATTCATACAATGTACAAATATTAGATCAGATTTCTGATTTAACTTAGGACTACTGGTCAATATTTCCACCTTGAATTAGGTGATAATGATAACATGAGCCATGAGGGTATTGATAATAATTTTTTCTTAGTTTATGATGTTCAGGTTAAGGTTAGTTTATAACTTAATTGCCCATAAGTAGTGTGAACTACTACTGAAGTGTGTACTGCTGTACTAATAGTGATAAAATGAATAGTTCATTGCCAAACAATATCAGCATGATCAATAAAATTAGTGAACTTAAGAATAGTTCATTTGAACTATTCAATTGAATGAACTAAACTTTCCATCTCTACAACACAGGGGGTCGCGGCACAGTGGTGACGTGGCATAGTTGTATAAAGTATAATGATATCTGACAGTGATTAAAATCACTATAAAAAAAAACACTTCGATGCAAATCTTTAGATAGTGCTTAATTTTAAAAAATTGGTGTATTATTCCAAAAGCTACATGATCTGCTAGTTCCTTATTAATATCCTGATTAAGATAAAGTATGTCGAATGAAAAAGGGATTATTAAAAAATATTATCTCTCATAAAAAAATTGTGTTGATCCATACACTTTTCAATAAGTTATAGCATAATAAAGTTAAAAATGTAAATTATAAAATCGAAAATTTTCACACAAAAATAGCATTCGGTAGCCGTTTTCTCCATGAAGACAAGTCCAGAGGTCAAATTTTTTTTTTTCAAATTAAAGTACATTACACTAGCTTTAATTTAAGATATATATAAAAGTGTCAGACCTTCCGGAACATTTTCAAAAGTTAAGTTAAAAAAGTTAATATTTTGTGAAAAAGTTTTCATTTTAAATCCCCCCCTGTTAGCAGGTTAAGTGTCAAATTTACAAAAAAAATATACCAAATGATAGGTAAAGACATCAAGCATCTATAAAAAAAAAATTATATTGATATGTTCATTTTTGAAAAAGTTACGGCAGTTTTTAGTAAAAAAAATTGAAAAAATTTCGAAAATTAGCGATTTTTAAATTTGTAATTTTTTTGGAGGTTTCCCCCATTTACGGGGAACGAGGGAAATTTTTTCAATTTTGAAGGGTAATGTCTTCGACTAGATACGATTTGTGATTTTTTGACGTATTGTTAGAGCTGAAAAAAAGTTGTAACGGACACAAAAAAAAAAAACACATAGTAAAACCAATCAATACCTTCTTAGTTTCTCATCGAAGCTAAAAAAATTTCTGCGGATGTCTTTGTACTTTGCAAATATTTAAATTTATATACATAAATTTTTAAATTATCAAATATTAAGTTTAAAACTTAAGTTTTAAATAAAATTAAGTTTAGAACGAAGTAGATTAAAATTAAATTATTATTGTTGCTCTAAAGAATAATGGGTTATTTAAAACGTTCTAAACATAATACAAATAAGATGTTTTAAGGAATTAAATTTTTTTTTTCATTGACCTTAAATTGTTTAGTTGAACCTAAAACTTGTAAAATGAATAATTATTTGTTATTTTAATGTGTTAAATGATTTTCTTTTCATTTTTGCAGGTATCACCAACCGAATTAGAAAGTTTAATTTTGCAACTGAATGGTGTTGCTGATGTTGCAGTTGTTGGAATACCTGATGTGTTATCTGGAGAAATTCCGAGGGCATTTGTTGTTAGAAAACCAGGATCTGACATAAGCGAAAAAGCTATTTTGGAACATGTGGAAAAGAATGTTGTAGCCTATAAAAAATTAGCTGGGGGTGTAAAATTTTTGGATCTTATTCCTCGTAACCCTTCAGGCAAGGTATTAAGAAATGAACTCAAAGTGTTCGGTAATAATCCTAGCGAACAATCAAAGAACTGATGTAATTTTAAATTAGAACCATGTGAATATTTAAATTAGTTTTGTGTATACAGGAATTGTGTATATATTTATAAATGGGAACTGATAGAATTTTATACCTAGCAAAATATAAGTAATGTTTATTATTTTTTTAAATATTTTTCATATATATTTAGAAATATTAAACAAGAGACTTAAATGTTTTTAAATGATAGTAATAGGCTCTATTAAATTGTTAATATTGCTTTATTAATCCTTTGATTTTTAATATATACATATCTAAGTTTAATCTTAGGCAAATTTCATATTGTACAATCAAATTTTGTTTACTAATAATATTATGTACTATTTATCAGCAAGTTGTACAACTAATATTCAATGTTTTGTAAAATAAAGTATTTATGCAAAAAATTTACATTTTTGTAATTACACAATTTTTAATTTATGTTCAATCGAAGAAGTTAATATTTTCAAAATTAAATGATTTTGTAATTAAATGTTTGGACTTTAATCTATAGACATAGAGAAAACTAGTATTGCTACAATTATTGTTAAAATGTAGCAATTATAAATATTATACTTCATTTCGTATTTGATGTTGAAATAAATTACTTTTTGATTTTGATTCATAAAAATACTTGTCATTGATATAAAAACTTCCAAAATATTTTGTGTAACGTACTAAGGAATATCTGATCTAAATCTATTTAATTGTACTATTTTATACTTATTTGTTCGATATGTTATGTTATCTTATAATAAGGTTACTATTATAAAATTTTAGTAAAAGTACTAAAATGTACTTTTTTGAAAATATAAAAAATTGTTTACACTAGTATTACAATAATTCAATTACATAATTAAAGAGCAAAAATTATAACTTATTGTACAAACAAGGGATACTTTTTTTGGATATCACAATGTAAAGTAGACAGAATAAAAATTTAAATAATAGAAAAAAATTATTTTTAATTCACATTATATTAGGATTATTAACAACATAAGATTATTTTATATTCTATACTACATAGAGATCACCTCAGAATTGCCAAATTATATTTTTTTCCATTAATAAGTTATAAATTTTTCTTGTCTTATTGACATCAATTTTAATTAAACTTCTAGCAGTTTTCAAGTTTATTCCTTTAGATTTTTCACACTCATTAATAAGTAATTCTTTAAATTTTAAATATGACTCAGGTAACATTTTTGTTTGAGTACAAAGCTCTCTTTCACTTTCATCTAATTTTTGAAAACCTGGTAAATTACATACATTAATACGAGACTTTGTATTTTCAACAAAAGTTGATGAAGATGGTCTATTATTTAAAGTTTCTTCACGTTTAGAATTTAATTCTTCATAAATACTAATGTAAGCATTTTTGGTAAGTCCATTCTTTCGATATTCAATAAGTTTATGAATTCGGGCTAATATATTATGTTCTTGTTTCAAATTGGTAATAAGTAGATCAAATGCAAGTGGTTTAATGAGATGTAAAAATCGAATAAGTCTTTGTATCATTTCTGGACCCAAGATAACCTAAAATTAAGAAATGCAACAAGTGATATTTAATTATGATTTTACAAAATATTTAATAAAATATACCTCTATAGACTTAATCCACAACTGATGTTTACTAAATGAAATAAGACCATAGTCCTTTACAACTTTTCGACGTCTATATCGTTCTTGTAGCCTCTCATTAAAAATATCTACAATAGTTCTATTTAACTTTTTATATAGATTTGATTCCAAAAGTTCTTTAGTTGATTCATCAACCCATATAGGTTCATTTAGTAGCTGAAGAATACATTCTGCTTGATCATCGTATTCTTCATCAAATTCACCTCGTAATGGTTGATAACCAGCTAGTCGCATTGCAATTTCATATTGGTGATATGATTCTACAAAATATTTTATTAAATTATGTATGACATGAGAATAAGTAGAAGAGGGATATTTTCTGCATCTTAATTAAGTATAATTTTTAGGAACTAAAAACAAAGTTAGAAAAAAATATACATTTAAATCGAATAAAAATCACACTAAATAATTTATACAAAATTTTAAAAGAATTAAACATTTTATGAAAATAATGTTTAAAATGAGTAGATATGAAGTAAAACGTTTATAATCTTCATTTAATATTTCAAAGAATCTAAAACTTCAATTGAAAAAAGTTGGACTTACCTTTACTTTAAGTCTAAAATCATGTATATTTTATAGCTAAGCAGTAAAAGTATAGTTGTAATAGAAAAAATCTCAACATTAAAGTTACGAATAATATTTTGAATCTAGTTACTAAAAATAAAATTATTCTCCTAAAAAATTTTATGAGCCAATTACAATTATATGACTAAAGAGCTAAAAAAAAATGTTTTTATCATGAAAAAATACAAAATTGGAACTATTAGGATGAAAAAATATCCAAGAATTTGATACATTTAAGACCATATTAATAAAAGCTCCAAAAAAGCAAATGATTTGGTAGCATAAATAAATAGTGTATATATTGAAAATTATTTTTACCGATCTATTTTAATTTAAAAGGCATTCACCTTCGCCTGAATCAGCAGTTGTTTCAAAGAACATTACTTGTTCATTAATAACATCATTTATGTTATTACGAAATGCTTCTTGATTAACAATTTCCAAATCTTTAATTTTGGGGTACAACACAAAATGTTCAAAGTAATGTTGCTTACATTGTTTAGGAGAACACCCAAGTTTTTGTGAAACTTTTTCCCAACTCATTGTTTCTGAAAATGTATCAAGTAAAAGAATTTCTTTGTGAGCTGGCCATAAACATTCATCCAGCTGTATAGCATTACATAACACATTATATGGATCGGTATTACTGTGAATATCATCTTTAGTACCAGTAGCAAAACATCGAAGGCATAAATTGATTCCTACTTCAGCACATGCACTGTTTGCACATTTAATATATGTATGTTCATACCAAAGATTACAGAAACAGAATCTACAGCACATATTTTTTCTATTGCGATGCATTTTACATAGAAAAAACGACAGTTATGATTATTAAGAATAAAATTCATAAGGAAAATCAAATTACTGAAAGTAAGTAATGAATAAATATAACGTAACTAATGTGGTTTATTTTTAAAACTTATCTAAATTAAAGTTTTGATCAAATTTAGAAGAGATTCTGGTGTATTATTCAAGACGTCATAACCTGTCACAGAGCGGCATGTAATGATAACATATGATACCAACATAACCTCAAATATAATTTCGCGCCATAATGTTTGATCGTAACATACTTCAGTTAGTAAAATGTTTATATTGGCTCATAATTATTACCGCGCTTTTCTAAATTAATTTCTGTTTAAAATTTTAAATATAAAAATTTTAATAACTAATTAGAATCGTATAATAGCTTCAACTTATAAAGTATACAAATCAATTTCTTATAATTATAAAGATTTAAAGTACAATCTTAATTATTTTTTTAAATGAATAATAACTTTTTAAATGTTAAATAAATAAATGAATATTTACAGTTGATAAGTAGCAATTAATTTTAAGATTATTTTTTTAATGTTAAAACATATAGAAGATCTCACATATATCCTAGTATAATATATAGTTTATAATAAAAAGTTAAAAATTAAGTTAAAAATTGTTTTACCAACTAAAAAACGAAGTTTATAATATAATTATGTCCTGTAATCAATATGTTTTAGTGTATTGAATATATTTAAAACCTAAATTTGCAATTATCATGAAAATGAAACGAATATTATTGCCAAATAAGGGACGTTATACTTTTATTTATTAAACTAAGTATTACGGCTATCATTTAATTATGAAAAAATAAATTAGATATTATCTTTAGTACTGTTATTTTATTTATATAATCTATTTCCAAATAATGGTGAGTGAATAAATTTATGTTTTAATTAAGTGAACAAGGAAGTTAGTGAAAGTAATTTTGACACAATGTGACTATGAAAGTTACTGGCTTGTCTGTTATTTTGTGAGTTTTAAGATTTAATGATTTTGAAATTTGTAACTCATTTTTTCAAAAATCAAGTCTTTTTAAAAATTCAGGGGTACAGTAAAGTTTTCCCGCCCGTTCCCAAGCACCGCGCAAACATTCGTTATCACTTGAATGCCAAGCGATTATGATAACATACCTCTTGTCGTCGACATTTTCTAGTTCAGTTGTTAGATGTGTTGTTATAACAATTTAATTTGTAATTTTAGTATTTTTAATCTAAGTTTTTCATAAAAACCCGGTTGGGAAAGTTATGTCTTCTGCTTCTTCGTCATCTTCTTACGTTGTTGTTGTTAAACAGGATAACGAGTCTAATATTCAAGTTCCTGCTACAAACATGGCTCCTATACCTGCATAGTAAGTATACATTTACACATATGACGAACAATGGTTTAAATAATACATAAGAAGTTTTCATAGTAATAAATTTATGCAAATTTTTTATGTTAGATATTCACGTTTATGATTGTATGAAAAAGCCATGTAAAAAAGACTAAAAGTTTTGCTATGTAAAGGTTGTACCAAATATTAAAATAAAATTTACTTTTATAATTTTCAACATTTAACAATATAAAATGTTTTTTTACTTTTCTTTAACAAACACCTAAAATATTTTATTTTTAAATTTATTTTTTGAGCTACAATTTATATATTTTTATTTACTATTTACCATTTTTTAAAAATATATTTGTCCTACTTAAATCTACTTATATTTTACTATTTATTTCGTAGTTAAAATTTTACTTAGTTTAAAGTTAAGCGATTGTAGATTTAGTTCAAACATTTTCAGGAATTATACTATTATAAACATGGGACTTTATAATTTTAGGTTATCCTGTAAATATTTATATTTTTTTGTATATGTTTTATATTATATCAAGAATCTTACATCTATTAAAGAAACTTTATTTTTTCATTAAAACTATTATTGATACAGTATCAATAAATAATTTGAAATTTACTCTTGATATTGCTATTTTTAGCATATTTAGTCATTTTAGTGTACAGTATAAGTTTGTAATTTTCTTTGTGCTTATTTTTTTATGCTGGTTGAAAGACAATCATGCATAAACTTATAAAATAAAGTATTTTATTAAATAAATAATGAGATTACCTATTATTGCAATCAATATCACTATAGTTTTAGTTTTATTACATAATTCTATACATATTGTATAGAATTATGTAATATTATTTTCATTTTATTTAATATTACTTCCCATTTTTATAATAATATTATTTATAAAAAGAAATATGATAAATCAAATTAATCAATCAGAAATGTATTTACTACTTTTATAGTATCTTAGAATATATCACTTTACTTATGTATACTTAGTAAATTTCATCAACTACCATTGTCAGGATAAGGATTCTGATGAATATTACAAATTTTAAAGTAAAAATCAATTTACTTTTTTAATAACAAAAATACATATTTTAGGTATTAATAAATGTTAAATATTATGATTTATTTACATTCTAAAAATACAATCTTTCATATTATTCATGTATTTTTTGAGGCTAGAGCTTTCTAAATTACTTCATTATTTTATAGATAAGTAAAATCTTTGATACATTTAATGTTACTAGGAAAAAACAGAATGTAACTGAATATTTTTATTACTGTTGATGGTTATTTACATTATAATTGTGATTTTATTTGGATATTAAGTTGATAATTTTTTAGGTTTTTATTTTAAAGACGTCTCTTATTTAATTTTTAGTCTCAAAATATATATTTAAGTAAAGAAAGCATGTTACTTATTTTAAGTTGTTTATTATTTTTTCAAAAGAACAAAGCATTTATAGATTCAAATCTCATGTTAATTGTAACTAAATTTATCTTAAATTTTAAGTTCATATTTTAATGTTTTTAATATTTTTTGAAGCTTATTTACAAAAGTTATATAATTTGATCACAAATTAAGAAATTCTTGAATATTTATAAATAGTGAGAATTTATGTATTCAATGTTTGCAAATTCAAATTAAGTCACTCTATTGATTTAACACAACCAATAATATGCTTTAGCATTTTAAATCTCCAACTTTTGTCATAAATATTTAATAAATTACACAAAAACTAGACATTTTTTTTTATTTAATTAAATCTTGGCAGCTGCCAAGGCTATTGAGAATTACTTTAAATAGATTATAATGCTTATAATATTTATAGCTGTAGACAAAATAATGAGTAAAAATTAAGGAAAAAATTTGATTAATATAAGGGAACACAAATAATAAATATGTGATTTAGATATGGTATTATATTTTGCTGTTGAGTTAACTAGAAAATTGTTTAAATGTAAAGTTTATTTTATTCAATTGTGAAATAATATATTTATATATTTAAATCAAGGGTGTTGTTCTTTAAAAGTTAAAAATAGACTTTTACATATTATGTTGAATTTCTTTGAGTCTTAAATTATATAATATTATTTTAAAAAGGAAATTAATAAAATTTTTTTAGTAAACGAAGAAGAAATGAAAAGCCTGGTAAAGGATTACGACACTTTGCAATGCGTGTTTGTGAAAAAGTTAGAAGTAAAATGGTAACTACATATAATGAAGTAGCGGATGAACTAGTTGCAGAATACCCTGAGGGTAGTAATGCAGAACAGGTAATTTTGTGTCATTTATTATCTTTAACAATACATATTTTGTGTATCCTGTGTACATTTTAATGTAAAAATATTTTGTATTAAAGAGCTAAATATGAGATTTTGTTGAAATCAATAAAGACTTAACATAGTTACTATTTATCCCAAATATATAAGGTTAAGACATTTTTTTAATGTAAAAAATAAATAATGGTATAGTATTAGAAATTTTTTAAACTATATTAAACAATTCATTTAATATTTTCATTGTTTATGAACTAGTTACTTATATATGGTAATAACTTTTATTTCTAGTATGATCAAAAAAATGTTAGGAGACGAGTCTATGATGCATTAAATGTTTTAATGGCTATGAATATAATTTCAAAAGAGAAAAAAGAAATTAAATGGATAGGTTTACCAGTAACTTCTGTTCAAGAATCATCATCTTTAACAAGAGAAAGAGATGATCTTATGACTCGTCTGAATGAAAAACAGGCTTTTTTACAAGAACTAATAATACAAGTATGAAATTATTTAAAACTGTTGATGGATGAAACATAATTGTACTTTTATTTTTATTTAAACAGCAAGTGACATTTAAGCAATTGGTTGAAAAAAATAAAAAGTATGAACAAATTCATGGTCGCCCATCATCAGCATCTGTATTAAGTTTACCTTTTATTGCCATAAAAGCTGATCCTGGAACCGTAATAGACTGCAGTATTTCTCAAGATAAGTATGTTTTTTTTATAGTAATGCTATTTTATTGTTAATAAATACAATCATTACCTCAAAAAAAAAAAAATTTACTTAGTTTATTTTTTTTCATCTTGAGGATTTATTTTACTGATACCCTCTTGATTGTGTCTCTGAACTACTTATCAAACTATGTTTAAGTTAAGCTATTATTTATTTATCTTAAAATTGTTGATATTCATAATTATTTGCATATAAACATAATAGCTACACTGTATATTGATAGTACAATAAAATCCTCCAAAATTAATTAATAATTTTAATTTTTCTTACAGAAAAGAATATTTATTTGGATTCAGTAATAGTTATGAAATTGTGGAAGACATGGATTTATTGAAAAGCATGAATTTATCCCTAGGTATGTTATTAATTAAATTAATTTAGGATCTGTAAAAAAAAAAATGATTTTAATAATCTTGATAATTCAATTTTCATTTATACTTTTAGTTAAAAATTTTGTAATCTTAATAATTAAGATTGCAAATAATTATAATTATTATTTGGTTTTTGGTAGGTCTTAATACTGGTACTAGTACTGCCGAACAGTTGGAACAAGCTAAAGCATGTGTACCAAAGAAACTACATAATTTTTTATCACGTAATATTATTTAATTAAAATAATAATAAGTTTAATATAAATTAAACTTTAATATTAATACAAATATTAAAGTAAATATTTTTTTAAAGGTATAGCTGTTGAATCATCAGCAATGGATGTAGTGGAAGAACAACCAACTAAGAAATTCAAATCCAGTTAAAATTTGGTGACTTTTTAGCTATTGACTAATTAGTAGTACTCAATATTCAGATAATAAGAATTTCAATTACAAATTATTTTATTATTAAAAAATAGATAAGTTATGTTAATTTTAATTAAGTTGTATTGTTAATAATGCATGAACAACTACTAAGATGTTATTTAAATAAGTTATTATTTAAAACTGCTAATTTTCTCTTAAACAAAACTTTCTCGTTAACTTGATGTTAAACTTAAGTAAAATCACAAAGATTTTGTATTTGTATATACTCGAATTAAGGCAAACTCAAGTCTATTGTATAATATTTATAGCACTAACAAATGTATAATATTAGGTAAACATTTAACTTATTTTCATAGACAGATTTTTTTTATTCATTTATTTCTTTGTACATTACTGTATATGAAATATGTCTTAAATATCATTAAGATAACATTTGTACATAGTAATTTTACATAATATACACTAAGTATTATTATTTTTTTCTTTGTAAATTGAAGAGTACATTGTGTCATAAATAAATATTTAGGATTACAGTATTTGTTGATTTAGGTTACAAAATACTCAAAACCCTTTAATACATAGTTTCTATGTATTTTTTAAAATAAAACATTTGTGTTTCAACAAAGTATTATTTAACACAGATGACTCATGTTAATTTACCACTTTAATGTAATACACGGAACAGATTGTTGTATGAATACATTGTTTTTACTTTTGTTTTTCATTATAAATGCACTTTTGATGCAAGTTAAATATAATTATCAAAATTCAATTATAATAAAAGTAATCATATAAAAATTTTATAATTTTATTAGGTCAAATTTTCATGAGGTATAATTTAACTGTAAGAACAAGTTATGCCACTATTTAAAAATTAAGAATTTGTACTATGTAGCAATTAGTCAAAAGAATTTTCTGATTCTATAAATATAAATAGATAGCATCATAGCACATTACAGAAAAATTGAGAAAAGTGAAATAAAATGTTCGTATTTTCCAACTATTATGGAAAATAATTCCTGATGCTATGAAGTCTAAAATATGATTGATAAAACTCCGTTTGTCAGATATTATTTGTTTTATCTATTTATTTTTATTTTTTCGTGTAAATCAATGCACAGCGTGATACTATTTAGTAATGTTAAAATTAATGTACTTGGGGAATCCTTAATATTGATATTTTTATATTTTTAATGTTTTTTATCGGGTAGTTTTTTAACACGCTATTACTATAATGTTGACTAAATAAATGCGATTCTACAAAATATTGATAAAAAGTTAGTATATTATATACAAATATAGATAATTATTGCACATCATGTTATCATTACTGCAATGATATTTTAACGTAATGAAGTCCAACCTAACCCTAACATTATTCAGTATCATAATATATTTTATATGTATAATTATCTTATTTAGAGTGTTTTATAAATAATTGACATAATTAAATTAATGGTTATTTTTTTTAACCGCACAGAGAAAATAATATTAAAATATTAATATTTCTAAATCTTGAAGGTCGGCTTGGGCTAGTAGGTAGAAACGTATGTTTCAGCATACAGGATCTCGGATTCGATCCTTGGTGTGCCAATGAGATTTTTCTTGTAATTTTCTCATTAATAAAGTTTGTCTCTGCTGCAAAACGGCTAAAATACCTGTCCTGTCCATCATTGGCCTAGCCAAAAACTAATTAAAACTATTAGAACTCCCTAATATGTTAAAAAGAACCATCAACAAATGTATCATGTTGAATTCGGGAATTAGTAGGATGTAACTGATCATTTATTTATTTTCAATTAAATATTGATGACTCTCTTATGACTAACCAAAAAAGTTAAAGTTCTATAATTTTAAAATGTTTAACGGTTTGTATTAAATATAAATGACGTATTTATGCAAGGGTCTTGTGGTCTGGTCCCTCATTGATATAAAATTACGGTAGCCAGGAGATAGTAGTAGGTGGCACCTATTATTATCTAGGTACTATGCTCCACTACTCATAATCTTTTAAAGCTAACGTATACCATCCACCACACCATAAAAATATCTAATTGATGCTAATCAATGAAATTAAACGAAAAACAAAATAATCATTAATTGATATTGCTTTTAATAAAAGAATGTAATTTAAAATATTTACTATAACCCAGGATTTTTCAATGAGGGAATATCTGATATCGGCACCAGTCATTAACAGTCCCCAGTTTTTGACATTATTTATATAAATATGTGGTTTAGTCTTGAATAGTAAGCTTTTGTTTCCCAATAAGTCTCATAGTTTATTCAAAAATCAAATATTTTTTAAAACTTTAATAAATAATTTATTTAGTATTATACTTCTTTATTATCAAAAACTGCATAGTGTATCAATAACTAATGCCGTTACCTTATAAAAAATACATAAGTGACCTTTTCTAGGTAATTTTTTGCCTAAAATATTGGTTTAGTACGGTTAATTAATGGGCTTAGTCCTTTTAGCTCTCTTTATTAGTTACTAACAACCGTCTAAATTGTTTATCCATTTTTCACTAGAATATAGACCATATATTTAAGTAAATTAAGTTAAAACACATGTATAAAAACGGTAATAATTAAAAATTCTATAATTTAATTTCTAGATTGTAATCATAAGAGAAAATAAAGTAATTTGATAAAGTAAAATGATTTTGAGAATCATTGGCTTTTGGAAACTGTTAAATAAATTAATAAAAATAGTATGGAATATCGCATTCGAGTGGGGACAACTGAGCTGAGAGCAAAGTAAATAATATACAATTGTCGTTATGTGTTCGTTCCCTTATCGGTTCTACTCGTCCTCTGATGATCTGTTGTACTAACAGTACGATACCCTTGTATGTACTAATGCTGATGTATGGTTATAAACTCAATTGATAGTACACATGACATTGTTTTTTACCTGCAATTTTATCTAAAGCCGGTTCGCAAACAGCAGTCGATAATGAGAAGTACGGCACACAACACGGACGTCATAATTTTACATTTATAATACATACTCGAACATAATAATATTTGTACGGTTTCAATAGCGTCACGTCCGTGTCCGTTTGTGTTAGAAACGAAAATAACGTAATTTGTGAGACTAGGTCAATTTTAAATCTACACAACATGTTGCGCGTTGCAACTCGACGCTGCAACCTTAGGCCGAACTTTGATTCAAAATCTGCTCGTGGTAAACATGGAGGAACATCAATTCCATACGACCGTCTGCAAGTTGGAGTACCTAAAGAAATATGGCAAAACGAAAAGAGGTTTCTAATTTAGTAGTTTTAAATTCAAAAAATTGTACTTAATGATTTTCTAGAGTGGCTCTGGTACCTACATCGGTTGAATTGCTCTCTAAAAACGGAATGAATGTAACTGTTGAACAGGATGCTGGATCTGGCGCCAAGTTTAGAGACCACGATTACGAAACAGCCGGAGCCCAGATTAAAACTAAACAGGAAATATTCCAATCAGGTACTTGTTTAAAAAAATTAATATATTTGTTAGGAAATGAAAATTTAATACTACTCGGAAAGTATGAATCGGTTTTTCAGCTGTAAAAGAAAGTGAAGTAGAATTTTATTGTTTCTCTTGATTGATTGTGCAAAAGAAAGAAAAAACTAAAATAGAAAAATGTTTTTTTCTATTTCAAACTTATGAAATCAATAATTCAATATAATATTTTAAGTCTTCATATTTATTATTGTTTTGGGGGGGATTTTTAAATTTGACTCTGGGAGTAAAATCTGTAGCATTTGTTTAATATAAATATAAATAAACTGTAATCTTTATAAACATGCTTTGTTTTTTTTATAATACTAATGTGATTATATTGAGTTAATAAGCGTTGGATAAATTATGCTGATTGTGCAATTGCGTTAATAAACCAACATTAAATTGTGAAGATATAATAGTTTATTTGAAAATAATTTATCAAAGTGATTAATGTTAAAAAATTGTTAAATAGTTAAGAATAATATATATTTTTTATTTTTAGCAAACAAATTTCACTGTAAACATAGTTTAAGCAGCTAAATGACAACTGATAAATTTTAATTGAATTCAATGTTTGCGTGAATTGTTTATGTTCAAGGTTTATATATATATATATATATGAAATGTGATTAACATAAAATCTTAAAATAAATCTTAAATCAAATTTTTTGATAGACAAAATTATTCTTGAAAAACAATTTAATAAAAAAATTTGAAGTTGACGAAAACCGTTTTAGGACACTTTAATGACTCTCCAGAATTTTTTAAAGGCCAACTTAGAACTAGAATATTTATAAAAGAATTTACATAACTAATTATTCATGTGTATGTGTTTTTTCAATTTTAGATGTTATTTTAAAAGTTAGGTATCCAGTACCTGCGGAGATACCTCTTTTTAAAGACGAGTCGACATTGATATCTTTTTTCTATCCTGGACAAAATCAAGACCTAATTAATGAATTGAAAAAAAAACGCATGAATGTTTTCGGTAATGCTGTTTATTTCAGTTTTTGAGAAAAAAAATAACTCTTTGCTTATTGATTATTTGTGTAGCTATGGACTGTATACCTAGAATATCAAGAGCTCAAATTTTTGACGCTCTAAGCTCTATGTCAAATGTTGCTGGTTATCGAGCTGTTATTGAAGCTGCAAATTATTATCCAAAATTTTTAGCTGGCAAGTTTATCCAATTAAGATTGTTAATTAATATTATCTAAATACATATCATTTACCATAATACATTAAAAAATTATCATTTTGTAGGACAAATTACTGCTGCTGGTAAATTACCACCAGCTAAGGTGTTCGTAATTGGTGGAGGTGTAGCTGGTCTTGCTGCAATTGCTCAAGCCAGAAACATGGGAGCTATTGTGAGAGCTTTTGATACACGATCTGCAGTAAAAGAACACGTTGAATCATTGGGCGCGCAATTTCTAACTGTTCCAATAAAGGTGATATTAATACACTTGGTTTTACTTTGCTAATTTTTATTTTGTGTCACTGAACACGATTACTCCGTTTCTACTGAACCGATTTTGTTAAACGATACGCCAAAAGATGTATTAAATTAACGCTATCAGTGCTATAATTTTTAATAATTCCTCCTAATTCCCGTAATAAAAGGAAATTGCTTTCAAAAACATAATTGTCGTAAAACACTTAATGTTATTTATTTATTTTTCACCTTGTGATAATATAAATTTTAAAAATTGAACGGATTGTTGCGAAATATTTATTGACAATATTTTAGACATTTACTTTATTGGCGACATACTTTTTTTGAAAACCCAAACGTTAACTAGAGTACTGAATTCATATCAGAAATTTTTAGTTTTTGATAATGTTCCAAAAACAGTCTTTTTAAACCTACAAAACAATTAAAGTTAATAAAACGCAAATGAAAAAAGAAAACTATCCGAAATTTAAATTTCTAAGAGTTATTGTGCGTTAAAACTAAAAATCATACAATTTTCGGTTCATTTAGCGGGTTTTGAAGTGTTTTACCTTATTTGATTAAAATAAAAAGACATTATGACGATTTGTCTTCTATAAGTAATTAGCATCTTAAGTCAAAAGTCATTTAATTTTTGGTGATTATATAATTTTTTTAAATATTTTTTTCAAATACACATCGTTACGTTTACGACAGAATTTGAATTATGTCAGATATCAGTATATGCTAACATAAAAAATGTTCCACCTTGATAGATCCCTACTGTATTTTACATTTTATACAATTACCTCTCAATTTTTCATATTTTTGTCATTTTATCAAATTTAATATAGGAAGAAGGTTCTACAGCTGGTGGCTATAGCAAAGAGATGTCTAAAGAATTCATCGAAGCAGAGATGACACTATTCGCCAAACAGCTTAAAGAAGTGGACATAGTTATTACAACGGCTCTAATTCCGGGAAAACCTGCACCAAAATTAATATTAAAGGTATTAGAAAAAAAATTTATACTCGTGATAAATTCGAAAATTAAAATTTATCTAGTACAAAAATTACTCATTTAATGTTTTTCCTAAGGCTGAAGTGAAATAATTAAATCGGTTTCAATTAATTTTTTGGTAAAGGTTATACATTCTCGTTTTAAATTTCACCAAGTCTGTAATTTGTAACATGAGTACATTTATATAAAAAAATAAGAAAACAGATATCTCTAGAAGATAATAAACTAGTATAAAGTATAGCAAAACATAATTATTTTGATTTCAAAATATTCCTTCCAAAATAGAAAATTTTTATCCATTTACTACTTAGCTCAACGGGAACGTATTGTGACTGGTGTATAGATCTGAGGATATAGATTGTTCTAAACCTCAGTAACTATGCAATCTCAGTAGCTCTTTCGTTTCTTTAACATAAGTATAACTTTTTAGAAAAGGCATTAAATATAAATGAAATAATAATTAATCAATTGTTGATGTTTCATTATATTATAGGAGCATATTGAAGGAATGAAACCTGGTAGCGTCGTTGTTGATTTAGCAGCAGAAGCAGGAGGCAATATCGAGACTACACGTGTTGGAGAAATTTACTCGTATAAAGACGTTTTACATATTGGGTTAACTGATTTACCATCAAAACTACCGTCTCAAAGTTCTTCTTTATATTCTAATAACATAACTAAATTTCTATTGTCATTGGGAAGTAATAAACAATTTTCTATCAATTTGGATGACGAAGTAGTAAGAGGAAGTATAATTCTGAATAAAGGAGAAATGATGTGGCCACCACCTCCACTTAAAGTGGAATCTACAAAAGAAAAATCTGTCATTACAAAAGATATTCCTGAAGTATCTAAAAATTATCTTCAAAAACATTTAAATAATTCATTAGCTGTAACTTCTGGCCTCGGAAGTCTTTTGGTATTAGGAGCTGTGTCTCCTAATCATTATTTCTCTATGATGGCTTCAACATTTTCTCTTGCTGGTATAACTGGATATTACACAGTATGGGGTAAGTTTGTAATATACAATTGAAATTCCGAAAATAATTATTTTATATGATTAAAGGAGTTACACCAGCATTACATTCGCCTCTAATGTCTGTCACAAACGCTATATCTGGTATTACAGCTGTAGGTGGTTTACTACTAATGGGTGGAACTTATTATCCAACAAATGCAGTAGAAGTATGAAAACTAGTAAAATAAACACACTATTATCGAAATTAAAAAAAAAATGTTTTCAGGGACTAGCCGCCACAGCAGCACTTTTGTCTTTTATAAATGTATTCGGAGGATTCGTTGTTACTCAACGTATGTTAGAAATGTTTAAAAGGTAATAACTATTTAATTTCTGAAAATTAAAAAAAAATGTTTTTACTATTGAGATTTTATTGTGATTCCCAGACCTGGAGACCCACCTGAATATAATTCGTTATACTTAATTCCTGCATCAGTATTTCTTGGAAGTTATGCATGGGGAGCTATGAATAAATTACCGGAAATTCACAATTTTGCTTCATTAGGGTCATCATTATGTTGTATTACCGCTCTTGCTGCTTTAAGTTCACAAAAAACTGCGAGATTTGGTAACAATCTGGGGATGGTAAAGTATTTATTTCCAACATTTATGATATAATTTTTTATGTCAGATTTGCTGCGAATTATTGACTGCATAGACTTTAACGCGATTTGTTTATTTATTCTATTTTTGATTCTACTTTATATTTTAAACCCAATTTAAACAATTTAGCTTACAAATAATATTAATAGACTATTACTTTAATTAAACATGTTTTTTTACTAATTTTAACTAAATTTCTATTTGACAAAACTTGAGGATAACTTTTCAGCAAGTTAAGATTTAGTAAACATGGCCGAATTTTTTTTTACCTGCAATAATAATCTCATAGGGTAGTGTCGCGTCTCCCAAACGTTAATTTTAATTATAAATTGTTGGAATTTGTAGACTATAAGGAACGGGTAATTATGCTCATCTTGTTATTTTGATAAATAGAACAATTATTTAATTAAATATCATCAAAAAATTATTAATAATTCATTTTTTTAAGTCCTTCCTCGCATTTGTGATAATTTACGCATAACACCTTTATAAACAGAACCATATCATCCATTATTAGGTATTATGCATAGAACTTAGAAAATTACTTAGAAAATCTTTTTTATTTAATTAATATATCGTAGTATGAAATTTGAGTACTCAAAAATTATACATTTTACGAATAGCTTAAATCGGCCTTACCTATAAATAGTCGGTAAAATTTACTAATGCTTTTTCTGTTCTAGAATTTTTTTTTAGTTCCTAATATGAATATAAATCTTTAAACGCTTCTATTAATCTCTTTAAATATTGTAAAAAGCAATTTGTTTTAGTTATTATGTATCTAAAAATAAATACTATTCTGATGACTTAATCTTTGTACTTATTAATTAAAGATTTTCTAGTCAGTAAATTTATCACCTACTAACGATTATATTCATTCTATGCCCTTCTACATCTAGTGCTAAGATCGTTTCTGGATACCTAAATATTAAATTATATATATTTTTTCATTTTTAAAGTCACAATCATGTAGGTATTAAAATTATTTTTTTTTTTAAGAAATCACCTTAAACGTAAGTATGCCGTTCTTGTTAGTAGAGTACTTACGGGGTAAGGTGGTATAGAATTCAAAATACGGTACTAGTTGTTCATTTCATTAATTATATAAAATATAAATATTTTTCTTCCTCAAAATTAAAAAATTTTTTACAAAAAATTACATACTATTTTCATCTCTATTTTTCATATGCTTTGTAAAAGACAATAAATGCGTTAATTATGATTATTAGTTTTATATTATTGTATAATTAGAAAAATTATTCTTATAAGCTATAATAACAATAATAAGTACAATTAAAATATATTAATGATAATTTCTTTTTTAATTTTTCCTATTTTTTATGTAATTATTCGATATTTTTAAAGATTGGTGTTAGTGGAGGTATTGCATCAACACTAGGCTACATCTCACCATCCTCTGAAATATTAACTCAAATGATAGCTTGTACAGTATTTGGAGGAGCATTAGGTTCAATAGTAGCAAAACGTATTGAAATAACTGATTTACCTCAACTTGTTGCTGGATTTCACAGGTAAAATAGAGCAAATTGTTTAATTAAATTAAATTTTTAAAAATTATTTTGATTTATATTTTCAGTCTTGTTGGACTTGCTGCTGTGTTTACTTGTTTGGCAACATTTTTACATGATTTTCCGTCATTTGCTACCGATCCCACAGCAAATGTTATAAAAACATCATTATTTTTAGGATGTTCAATTGGTGGTATCACATTTAGTGGATCATTGATTGCTTATGGAAAATTACAAGGTATCCTTAATTCAGCTCCATTGTTACTTCCTGGTAGGCATGCTATAAATGCCAGTCTTTTGGCTGGAAATGTAGCTTCCATGGCGTATTTTTTTTATGATCCATCAATGGTTGCTGGATTGACTTCATTGTCATCTGCAACTGCTTTCTCGGCGGCTCTTGGATTATCGCTGACATCATCAATCGGTGGTAAAGTTTAAGTTGTAAAATTTTGTATTAACGTATTTTTAAATATAATTTTTTACGTCTCTTATTCATTGATTTCCTTAGGTGCCGATATGCCAGTGGTAATAACCGTGTTGAATAGTTATTCAGGGTGGGCATTATGCGCTGAAGGATTTATGTTGAATAATAATTTGATGACTATTGTCGGTGCACTGATTGGTTCATCTGGTGCTATTTTATCCTATATTATGTGTAAGGTGAGCAATTTAGATTAAAATATATAGCTCGATAATTTTAAGAAACATCTTTATTCTCCAACGAATAAATTAGATAATTTATTGTAATGGTTTACTTCCATTAAATTTTGTTTGTAGGCAATGAATCGTTCTCTAACTAATGTAATATTGGGAGGTTTTGGAACTAAACCTTCTAAAATTAATGGACAAGACGCTATTGCAGGAACACATACCGAAGCATCTGTTGATCAAGTTGCGGACCTGATGATGAATTCTAAAGATATAATTATTACTCCTGGTAGAAATAATATAAAACCAAGTTATTGATAATCATTAAATTTAAAATTAAAAATAATATTTTCAGGTTATGGATTATGTGTTGCCAAAGCACAGTATCCATTAGCTGAGTTAATATCGATATTAAAAAGTAGTGGTAAAACTGTACGTTTTGGAATACATCCGGTCGCAGGTAAATTTAATTATAAAAGATATCTTAATATTAATATTCTATATCAATTAAATTAAATTAAATTATATTCTGAAATAAAATAAAATACAAAACCTAGAGTTTTAACACAAAAATAGTATATTTTTTAATATGGTAGCCATTTTAACCAAGAAGAAAATCTATATTGAGAATTTTTTTTTATTTTTATTTAAGTATATAATATAAGCTTTAATTTTAGATTAAATAAAAGTGTCAATATTCCGAAATATATTCAAAAATTTAATTGGAAAAGCTTTACTTGTATGCAAAAATTGCTTTTTTGAATCCCCTCTGTAGGCAGATTTAAAATCAGATTTTCAAAAAAATTATATCAAATAAAAGGGAAACATCTAAGATTCCAATATAAAAAACCCAGCACAGTGGGGTCGCGGCATAGTGGGNAAAAAACCAGCACAGGGGGGTCGCGGCACAGTGGTGACGTAGCATAGTTGGATCAAGTATAATGATATCTGACAGTGATTAAAATTACTATCATAAGAAACGCTTCGATGCAAATCTGTAGATAGTGTTTAATTTTAAAAAATTGGTGGATTATTACAAAAGCTTCATGATCTGATATTTCTTTATTAATATCCTGAATAAAAAAGGGATATTATTAAAAAATATTATATTTCATAAAAAAATTGTGTTGATCCATACACTTTTCAATAAGTTATAGCATTATAAAGTTAAAAATGTAAAAAATAAAATCGAGAATTTTTACACAAAAATAGCATTCGGTAGCCATTTTCACCGTGAAGACAAAATAAAGTCTGAAATTTTTTTTTCCATAATAAAGTATATTACATTAGATTTAATTTAAGATATATATAAAAGTGTCAGACTTTCTGCAACATTTTCAAAAATCAAGTTGAAAAAGTTAAAAAAAATTTCGAAAATTAGCGATATTTATCGGAAAAGCGCGCACACGTTCAGATACATTCCGAACACATCAAATCACACCTGGCCACACAAATTGGCAGTTTTTAATAGTATGGTTTACAGATTAATTAATATTCCGATGAATAAAATAGATTTTGATAAAGAACTGGTTGTTATAAAAGAAATAGCTAGATTTAATGCGTATAACGAAAACATAATTTCAAAATTAGTCCGAACACAAATGTGGAAAAAAGAAAGGAGGGCAGCTAGTACACTCACTAGCGTGGAGGAACAAAAAGTAATTTGATCACCAATTTTATATTATCCAGGCATCTCAAATGGACTAACTAAAATATTTAAGAATTTTGGTATTACTTTAGTAACATCTAAGAGTAATAATTTAAGAGATTTATTAGGTAACCCTAAAGATAAGGTAGAAGAAGGGGGGGAATCAGGCATTAATAAAATACAATGTGAAAGTTGTAATAAAATTCATTATTAAACATGTGTAATCTGGCAAAATGTGATAATATTACTTGTTATAATACTAGTGATGACGTCACTAGGGGTATATAAGGGAGTTTTTTCTAGTCGGGGTGTCAGTATGTGTTAAGCGTTAATAATGGTAACAGTATTTCCGAAATACGTATCCGCGACTTTTCAATAATTTTTTGTGGCTTTTGAGTTTAATGTTTTTTATATTTTTTAGTTTTAAAATATTTTGTATTATTATTATAAATAAATAATATTCTTTTTTTATTTCCTTTAATCTTACACGTATATATTTCTTTTTTATCAAATTTAATAATATAAATAGGTCGCATGCCAGGACAATTAAATGTACTTTTAGCGGAAGCTGGTATACCTTATGAAGACATGCTAGAAATGGATGAAATAAATGATGATTTCCCCAAAACCGACTTGGTGCTTGTAGTTGGAGCCAATGACATCGTTAATTCCGGCGCCGAAGACGATCCTGAATCGGTAATCGCGGGCATGCCTGTATTAAGAGTGTGGAAAGCAAACCAGGTAAATTTTAGAAAAATATCGTAGGCCAATGGTGTATTTAATGAGAATAGGGGGCAATGACCTTAGGAAGCATATTTTAGGTCACTTTTCTTATTGTTTTTCAGCAAAAAAAAAAAGGTATTTTTATATTAAAATCTAATAAACTAAACTTTCTATAGCCATAAAAGTACTATAAATATATGTATGCTTATATAATATGATATGCTGCCCTATAAAAAGGGCAACAAAAACTTAAATACGCCTCTGTCATAGGTTATATAAGTATACTATTTTTTTCAAAGTATTATTCCTATATAAATATTGTAGTTTCTATAACTATAGCGTAGAAAATGACAAGTTTTGTAAGTTAGTATTTTATGAACAGGTTATTGTAATGAAACGATCTCTTGGTTATGGATATGCGGCAGTAGAAAATCCTATATTTTATAAACCTAATACTAGTATGTTGTTGGGGGATGCAAAAACGACATGTGAACAGTTGTTATCTAAAATCAAAGAAAGTACATTATAGGTTATCAATTTTCAATTTCTTTTTTTTCGACATGATTTTTTATTGTTTTTAACTTAAACGATTTTTTGTAATTTTATTTTTTATGCTCATTTTGTATTATTTCAATTGTGTTTTTTTATAATAACAAAAATGATTAATTGTATTTTTTGTATCAATTTAAATCAGTGAGATTATTGATTTCTTATTTTTTTACTTTAACGACATGTACTCATTGTAAATAAATATTCAAAAATAAAAAAATTTTTTAATAAAATATTTATTTATTTAAAATGTCTTTGTTTAATATTATTGTAAATACATATCAATACACAATGTTATTATTTTGACTAATAACAAGTTAGTGATGGTTATAAAATAAGTACCACGTTCAAGCTATGAATAACACAGAAGTCTATGTTATATTATCTAGTCTAATAATACGTAATACATGTATAATAAACCTAATTGAATTGTGTCATTGTAAATTGTATTTGCAGTAACTAGGATGTCAATGATTTAAATTTTAGGTCATTTGGCATTGATATTCATATACCTACACTATAATTAGATGCATTATAAAATATTAAACTATTATTATTAAATAAGTGATAGAAAGATAAAAAATTAAACTTAATATCATAGCAATCGCATTAAACTTAGAGCTTTTTAAGAGTATATAAAAATTGTATGCCGTTTTTAACAATTTTTCAAATATATTTCTTAAATATAACAAATACTTAATTATATGTCTTAACATAAAGGCTTCTAAAATTTTAAATATTTCATCAAAAATAATGAAGTAACTTTAAAAAGTATTTACAAATTTTTAAATAAAATCCTATAAAATCGATGCATAAATAATGTCTATTTATTAGTCAATTCTCTCTACTACTACTATTTGTGTACATATATGATTTGATTAAAATAAATTATATATGTATCGTACAAAAGAATTATTTTATCAAGAAAAAGTATATATGTATCAAATAATTTTTCAGAAATCGCTCATTTTAAAATATATAACAATATTTGTTGGTCGAAAATTTAAAAATTGTATTTGGTTTATGCATCAGCCATGTTGTGATAACTTGAGTGTTCAATACAGAATGTCAGGTATTAATGGCCTGTGGCCAAAAGGTATTCTAAGATGTGAAGTAGCATCCTAAACGCTAAAGACAGCTTTATAGTACTCGGTTACGGTTCACCCGTGTTAATAATGATAGCTTTTCTACGATGAAATTGAAGTTATGTAAATCGCTCTATAGAATTTATTATAGTTAATTATTTTATTAAATTTTGCATAAAAACCTTAATTATAAAGCTGAATAAACAAAAACAATGTGCGAAGAGATCCTCCTTCGAAGATATGATGACACACCTTGGGGATTCCGATTGACGGGAGGACATGATTTTGGTATCCCTTTGACAGTAGTACGAGTAAGTAGATCCAATAAAAATCAATAATTCTATTTTTTTATAAATTAATACTTAAAAATACTATTCAATAGATTTTATACGCGTTTTAATCGTTTAAGGTGACAGGGGGAAGTTTGGCCGAGGAGGCAGGCATGTGTGTTGGAGACATGATAATAGAAATAAATAACGATCCTACTGCTCAAATTACTCACAGTGAAGCTCAACAGTGTATTCTAGAAGCAGGAAACACAATTAATTTTGCAGTTCTTCGGTAAGTTGTAATTAAATAAAAACCCAACACAATGGGGTCGCGGCATAGTGGGGACGTGGCAATGTTGGGTCCAGTATAGAATTAATCTGACGGTGATTAAAATCACTGTCATAAGAAACGCTTCGATGCAAATCTGTAAATAGTATTTAATTTGATAAAATTAATGGATAATTACAAAAGCAATATCATCTTTTATTTCCTTAATTATAACCAGATTAGTAATTCTTAGATTCAAAAATATAATATATAATTTTTATAATTAATTCTTTTCAAATTATTATTGATTTTGATTTTTAATATGTTAAAAATAATCATTTTTAATCTACTTTTTTTTGTGAAAATTTATAATAAAAAAAAAAACGAATTTATTGCCATAACTTTTAGCTCAACTTGCAAGTTTAAAATTGAAATTACATAGAAAAAAATGAAATTGTTAAGTTTAATATGCAGTCAGCAAATTTTATTATTTACTATTTACAGTAAATTTATCAGAAAAGCTCTATTTTTTTTTTGCATTTTTATCGTAATATACCACTTAAATATAATTCATAGTAATCATTTATAATTAACTTTTGGTGTTTAAAAAGATTTGAATTTGTAAAAAAAAAACAATTGAAGTATGCAAAACTGAATTAATTTTCATTATTTACTTTAACTAAAATAACCAATAAAAAAAAAATTGTTAAAAAGATCTACTAAATTGAGCATATTATAAAATTTGATTATAATTGTAAAAATCTATTGTTAAATTCAGGTGAAACTAAATATAATTTTTTTTTTAGATTTATGATTTATTTATTAACAATACGTTACAAAAAAATTTGGAATATTATATATTAGTTGTTGCACACACAAATAGAGTTAAAAAATTAATTAATTACAAAGTAATATTATTTAATTTTGTAGTTGAATACTTTTATCATATCAAATCTAATTTGACAATAAATACTTTAAAAATATTAGAAATGAATGATTTTAATTGTTTGTATAGAATTTTTTTTCAAATTTTAAGGATAATATCTTCAACTAACTACGAATTGTTATCATTTGACGTATCGTTGGAAAAAGTAGGTCAAGTGAGGGTTGGCAAAATAATTTGTAGCCACAAAAAAAACCACATAGTAAAATAATATTAACATGAATAAGAAATTTCTTCTCACAAAGGAAGACTACAGTGATGAGATCCTCAATAATTATTGAAGTTATTGAATCTAAAGGAGATTAAAATCAAAGATTTGACACATTTTTTTTCTAACACAAAAAAAATGCAAAACATAAATTGTCACGGACGGGGATTCAAACCTCATACTTTAAGCGTAAAAGAGACAAGTTTGCCGAATCGGCGCAACTGATCGACACTTTTTTTGTGTGATAAAATTAGCAATTCAAATTTTAAAGTGACTTTTTCGACTTTAAAAAGGCAAAAAAATTTAAATAAGTATAAATTCTTATGTGTTATGAACTTTATTCTATGTCAATTAAATTATATAATATTCATGAAAGTTGGTGTATTCCCCTTGTAAAATATTTTGAAATATAATAAAATACAAAACCTAGAATTTTAACACAAAAATAGCATATTTTTTAATACGGTAACCATTTTCACCAAGAAGAAAATCTATATTGAGAATTTTTTTTTATTTTTATTAAAGTATATAATATAAGCTTAAGATTTAAGATTAAATAAAAATGTCAATATTGCGGAATACATTCAACAATTTAATTGAAAAAGCTTTACTTGTGTGCAAAAATTGCTTTTTTAAATCCCCTCTGTAGGCAGATTTAGAGTCAGATTTTCAAAAAAATTATATTAAATGAAAGGGAAACATCTAAGATTTCAATATAAAAAAAAAAAATTATTATAATTTGTTCATTTTTCAAAAAGTTGTGGCAGTTTTCAGTATTAATATATTTCATGTTAAACAGTGATTTTTACATAAAAATTAAATTTTTGTTAAATTCGACGACCATTTTCCCATACAAGAAAAGGTGACGGGACAAATTTTTTTATTGAACTTATGGTATTTATTGTAAGCTTTAATTTGACATATAATTAAAGGACGCAGTATTTCCGAAACATTTTCAAAAGTTATGTTGAAAAAGCTATTTTTTGTATAAAAGTTGCTATTAAATCCCTCCCTGTGAGCAGGTTAAATGTTAAATCTTCAAAAAAATTATATCAAATGAAAGGGAAATATCAAAAGTTTCAAAATAAAACAAAAATTATGTTGATTTGTTATTTTTTTAAAAAGTTATGGAAGTTTTAAGAAAAAGAAGTAAAAAAACGTCAAAAATTACTTATTTTTAAAATTTTAATTTTTTGGAGATTTCCTCCATTTACAGGGAACGATTGAAATATATTCAATTGTCAAAGGTAATGTCTTTAACTACATACAATTTGTGATCTTTTGACATATTGTTCATCAAAATCGTTCCAGTGAGAGTTGAAAAAAAAAGTGGTAACAGACACAAAAAAAAAATAAACACATCATAGTAAATTTAATACCTTCTCTGCTTTGCATTCAAGCTAAAATTGAATATTGTTAATCCAGACACTTCAATGATATGCTACGTACATTAAGTATTATTATTATAAAATATAATTTCTGATATTTTTATGTTCAGAGGTAGTCCTGTTCCAGCTATAACACCAACTAGAGGACTATATACACCATCAGTTATCGATCGTGCAACATCATCTGTGGGAAGCATTATTGAACATGAATCAATACAGAGTTCTGTTAATAACCAAAACTCCAGAGAAAATGTAGAATCAGGTAAAAGTTACCATCCATCAAAACTAGGCTAATTATATTTAAAAATAAATATTTATTTGCGTTGAATGTTATTGGCATAGTTTTGTATCAGAAAAACTGTTAATAATACTTTACTATTTTTAAGCGTAATAATTTTTATATTTGACCTGTTATACACGATATATTTGATCAACTACTAATATTTTATAACATTAATTACTTAAAATAATGTCTGTGAATGTATGATGGTACCTATGTAGAAATATTTATGATCTAGTGCAAAACAATTTCGCTAAACTCAAATTTTTTATCGTAAAAATAACTGTATTAGTTATAAACTTAGTTTGCGTGACTCTTTAAAGTGTGGAGCACTATACATAAGCATACGTTGATTCCTCCTCACACCTCTAACAAAATTTTTTTTTAATTAGTAAAATTTAAAATAATATATATGACAATTTGTTATTTAGCGGGATTATGCGAACATGAGATGACCGAAGAAGAAATAGCAGAAAAACTATTGGAAAACGCTGAAATAATAGAAAATAATGGAAAAAACGTAATTGGGTAAATTCAATCTAAATAAATATATTTAAATGGCTTAATTTCAAATAATTGTTTTAAAAAAAGTTTTCTTTTTCATAAAGAGTTAATTTTAAACGTTTTGTGCCGAAATGTGATTTTATCAAGAATTCTCTGGTATTTCAAACACTACAAGAGGAACAAATATTTGACCAAAAATCAGAACAAGAACAATTAAAAAAATGCCCAACAAAAAGATTTTCAACTTTTCTAACACCTCCAAACCGACCGAAAATTAAACCTCCAGAAAAAAAGAAATTGGAAGAAACAAAAAAATCTGAGGTAAGATACTATTATTATCCAAAATTGCCTATCTTTCGTATATAATATAAGCAAGGTGATTCATAAGAATAAGATACTTATTTAGTTGAAAAATATTGAACATTTTTAATTTTCATGAAGGAATATATTATAATTTAAAAAATTATTAATAAGGTATTAATACTTATTAATATATGTAGTTTAATAATTTTATTGGATGAAACGTTCTTCTGTTATTGCTTGTTAAAGTTTAATAATTTTTGACAAATTTTCTATTGATATTAGCTGTTTAGGATATAGTAGTAATAATTTTTCATGATGTTACATGGCCCATTGAAATAAATTATTGTTGCCTCTGGAATTATCAAAACAAAATTAGAGATGAATTTCTATTTTAAATAATTTTAAAATGCAAACGGTTTATTGAAAAAATTCTTTAAAAAATCTTTTTTTATCATATAATCAAAGCAGAAATAGCGGATCTCATTTAAGTGAATTAAAGTTATTTTTTTTTATCATTGAAGGCATGATAAAAAATTATTGAAGAACATATTATTGTATTTTTTTAAATCATACAATATTTTGAATAACAAAAATTGAAAATATATGAGTTTCTGAAGAAAGAGCATCATGTTTTTAATCGATTACTCTGTATGTGCTAAATTATTAGGTTACTGACCATATTCTCGGTTTTAGTTTTAAGTAGTCCTATTTTTATCCGTTACGTTTGTACAAATAAAAGACTTACTACATGTGCTTCTATGAAAATAGCTTTCAGGATAATGTTATCTATATGCCACCATATATTTTCAGTTATAAATTATAATAGTTTATATTCAATAAAAAATGTTTTTAATTTATTAGGCTATTGAAGTAATAAAAAATTCAACTAATGAAGAATCGTCTTCGTCATGTGAAAGAGTATGTATTAATTGCAAATGCAAGTTGGTCGATATAGAAGATATTACTTTAGCAAATAATGAAACAAAACAAGAAAATAATAGTGATGAAACCATTATTCAATCTAAAGAAAACACTGAAGAAATAAATAAAAGTGATGAAAATGAAAAAGATACTAGTGAAAAAGATTATGAAGATATTGTTCAAGATAACTATGATAATAATCAAGTAAGTTGAGTTTGGTTTGATTTTACTTTATTAAAGTTAAAGTAATAATTCAAATCTTTATTTAGATATAAATTTAATAATTATTTTAATGAAAAATAATTTTAAGGAGTTTGTAGAAGGTTTAGAAGACACATCATTAAAGTCTGAAATTGTAGAAAATGTATGCAGTGAACCTGAAAATAATTTTGAAAAAAGCTTAAAAAATATACAAGATCAATTGGATGTAATTCGTCAATTGCCATTGCAAATTCAAAATCATATAAATTTATTAGAGAAACAATTATCAGATTTGTTGTCAAAAAAAGTTACCACAAATGATCTGTCCAGAAATAACATTGAGATATCTGATGAATTAGATAGTAGACCTAGAAAAAGTAGTTGGGTTGAAGTAGATGAAAACTGTCAAGAAGAAGCATTTGTAGATGATGAGGATTTATTAGTAGAGAATCCAAAAGATGAAGATTTAGAATTTTCAGAAACAAGCGAAGGAAGCAAAGAAGAAACCGAAGAGTATTTGAACAACAAAATAGGGCAAGATTATGATGACAATGAAACAACAATTAATAAACCAATATACCCATTAACTCCTTTACCTAGACCTATTGTATTACCAGGTGGTCGAAAATGGAGATGTCCTAAAGATGCTTATAATGAGGAATTCATTGCAGAGACTTTAATATCACAGGCAGAAGTTTTAGTTGGATCCACATTAGGGTGAGTAATAATTGTAACTAATAATGGGCTTCAAATTTATTTTACACTAAAATATTACTTATGTTTTAAATATTATTGAGAATTATAACAAATAAAATGTATTTAAATAATTTCTTTAAATGAAAATTAACCGAAAAAACATTATTTATTAACAATCAAACTTAAAAAGATAATATTTCAATGTAAAAAAAAAAAGTATTATTATATTATTTTACTTCTGATGGAAATTTTATTAAATTTACCTTTTAATTTTTAAAATATATAATAATATGAAGACCTAAAAAATTATATATACTTCACTCTTGAATATTTTCTTTATAATGTTAAAGACATGTTCTGTGTATCTTATATTCAGCTTAGTGGCAAGATGCCCAAATACAAAATTGTCATTTCAAAAATTAACTTTTTTTAAACTTATATAAAAAAAAATTATTTAATTAGAAAAAAAGTTGCATTAAAGGAGTTCAAATATAAAATTTAATTTAAAAATATATGTTCATATTAGTTTAATATTTTATCTTTTGAAGTCGACTTGTTAATATAATGTTCGAAAATCCTAGGGTATCACTTTAAAATCATAAAATAGGAATATATAACCATGATATATAATTTGTAAGGCAACATTGTTAAAAAAATTCATATTTGTTTGTTATTGGAAAGCCTATTTTTTAGCATAATCTAAAGAAAAGTGTGAGGAAGAAACACTATTACATATATTAAGAAAAAATATTTCATATATAATTATAACTGTAATATGTTAAAAAATTCACTATTCTAGAGTTAACTTTAGAAAGTATGAACCACCAAAATTTGATGTGTCTAATTCTGCAGTGTACAAATTAGTTCACAATATCGAAACTAAAACTGGTGGAGGAATTGAAAATCGACCAGAAAAAGTGGAAGCTGAAGAAGATTTTTATTATCATAAGCCGGTATATATAGGATGCTATTTTTGTTAAAAATCAATTGGTTAGAAAAATTTCTTTTTTAGATTGATGCTCGACAATTTTACTTGGCCACACTTCCTCAACCACCAATAGTAAATAAACATACTTATTACATAATCTGATAAAGAATTAATAAAATAATTATTCTTTAGGTGACAAATTTTGAAAACAACAGTCAACATAGCCATTAAATATTTGGAAAATAACTAAACTAACATAAATCAAACAAATTATATTATAAAAGTGAAATATAGTACAAGTAATTTATGTAGGAGTTTCTTTAGAAAAAAAATTAATATTTAAAAACATCTTATAAAACATTAAAATATAGATTTAACAAATTAATAGTACAAATAATAAAAATATAGTTTTTACAAAGATTTACTTTGACTAGTATTTTTAAGTTCTATTATTTAAAAAAATTATTTCACAAATATTACTTTGATAAATTTATTTTGAAAAACCATTAGAATTACAATAATACATGTTTTTGAAATTTTTCACCCAAGATAAAAATTGAATTTGATTTGTAATAATAATTCAATATATGCAATGTTGGGGAAATTACTTTGAAAAAAGAATAAAATTTCAATTGCTTGTGACATTTCCAAAAATTAATGTAATGTAAGATCGTTGTCTATTTAAAATGTAACTCATGTCATTACTTTATAAAAAAATATTAATTAGTTAATCTTCATTATACTTTTATATGCAGTACCGTTAAACAAAGACTAATTTTTTAATTGCTGTAAATTTATTTTACATAAATAGTTTGAATATATATAATAATAAATAATTTTAATCCTAAAATAATAACATTGAACATTTTTTTTTTGTTACATTTATTTGTAGATATTTAAGTGACTAAATATTTTCTATATCTATCTATTAGCATTTATAAGGATACCAATTTTATTTTTTTTTTAATGGAAATAAATATTTAATTAGTTTAAAATAGAAAATTTTTCAACTAAGGAAATTACTGTACCCGTATTTCGGGTGTTATTAACATTTTAAATCTTACAATGAATGTCAGAAGCGAATGTTGTTATTTTTATCACTTATTATTTCCCAACCGTACTCTTCCTCCCGCAAAGGAACCAAAACAATAACGAAAGAGGCTAGTCAAAATATTACAATACAGAATGTTTCATTAAGGATAGAAACGCATTTTCTTTGAAGTAATCAATAATTTTTAATTTTCATAAAGGAAAATATCGTTTGAATCAAAAAACTCTTTAATATGTAATAAAATAATTTTTTTTTATCCCTCCAAAGATATAAAACTTTATCTTAAAATGGAAGCCTCTATTTATAGTTTAATAGTAAGACAGAAAAAAAAATTCAAACAATTCTCTTATAACTTTTTTTTATTGGATAAACCATTGTTCTGTTGTTTCTTGTTTAAGTTAGTGATTTTTGACCAATTTTCTATTAATTTGATTTTTAGGTTATATTAGTTATTTTTCATAGGAAGAACTCGGTGTTGTCAATAATACAGAGATCTTATCTTAAATAAATCAGGTCTATTAATAGACGCATTCTCACTATCCCTGGAGGGATATAAAGAAAAATTATTTAACCACATAATAATGTAGTTTTTGGTATCAAATAATATTTCTCTTAACAAAATATTATATTTTCAAAGTAAAAATAGATTATCATTCTTTTTGATGACTCAATATTTGAGATACGTCATAAATTAAAAAAATGAATTAGAACAATTTAGGGACTATAATAAATTTAATAAATAGTTCTAAAATAATAAAAAAAAACATAATACAACTTTTAATTACAAAGTATGACATACATTATTTTAATATCAAAATTATACAATTAAATATCAGTAATATTTTGATTACTTTTTGAAATCACAGCAGATATATTTTAGTATTTTCAAATTAAAACAATTGATATTATTGACGTTTTTCTAAACTTTTATACTTAGCTTCTAACCGTTTTGCATAGGAATCTAATTTAAAAGCAGCTTGTTCCAATTTGGATACACTGTCTTCTATTTGATCAATTTGAATTAAATAAGGTTCCAATGTTTTATCTAAAACAATAGTTGTTTAATTAATACTTTAAAACAAAAACCTAAATAGTATCTCATAGATACTATACATTACAAATATTCCTTAAAACTTGTACTAATTTTATTTGCAAATATTTTACCTTATTTACTTACATTTTTTATTCAATTCTAAAATTTGATTACTGATATCTATGGTTAGATGTTTATATGATGCATATTTTTGTGTAGTAGCTTTATTCATTATTTCAAGTAGTTTATAATCTTCCTACAAAAAAATTATATGAATTAATAGAAAAATTGTCAAGTTTCATTTAATAATATATTTTGATAATGTACTTCAGTTATATTCAGCTCTCCAGTCAAATATTCAGATATTTTTTGAAACATTTTTGTAGATAATAAACTTAAATTTGGATCATGTGGATCGTTACGTTCAAAACTACTAGTGCTTGTAGATAAAGTTGGTCCTAAATGATGATATATATATATACATAGAAATATATACTAATATCTCAAAAGTAGTAACTACTTACACAATTAGAACACTTAACAACTATTCCAGACAAATTATTAATTTTTTTACCTAAGAGAGAAACAATTTCAAAAATTATATTTTGTTTTCTCCCAGTTTAATCTTCATTGAGTATTTGACTAATAATCATATGGCAAATCAGTCAGAAACAAAATAAATGTAAGTAAAAATGTTTTAAAAATAGTCATAATTGCTATTTAAAGAGAATAATATTGAATAATTCAAAATGAAATAAAATTTTAATTTAATATAAGTTAAATTTACAAATTAAGATAACAAAGTTACATAATTTAAATGTTGACATAGAATTTAAAATATATGAATATTTTTTATCATAAATATTTAGGACTATAAGACAAAGAAAAATAAGATTACAACTGTATTAATTATTTGGATGATTTTTTACGAGAAAGGGCATAAATTTTCAGGAGACATATAATAAAAAATAATTTTACTGATACCTATATGTAGCTAACCATATTCAAACAGTAGAATATTGGTATCAAAACTACACCCTCATTGACAGTTGACCGTGACAATAGCAGATTTGCCATTATTCACAAATAACATAAAAATGTCAAAATTGCCTTGTGTCATTCCTTATGAAAAACATCTATTTGTCTCCTATTTTTTGATATAATTTTATTATTATAATAAACGACTTCTAATATTTAAAAAGAAATACTGAACACTTATAGATAAAAAATTATGACTATGACTGTATACTAGTTTAAATATAATACGTAATATTACCTTTTTTTGGGGATTCTTCAATCTGCGGGATATTTTCAATTTTTTCTTCGTCGGCCATACTTTAAATATTAACGTATATAATTTCAGCAATTAACAAGCAAAAAAATGTTTACTTTAAATTATTTATTTGATAGTTTAGTTAAATGTACTTAAAGTTATGATTACAAATTTAATAGATGTCAAACATAAACTCTATTATCAACATAATCATGATATGATATCACTTGATAACAATTATAAATAAAAGCAATTAAAAACCATAACCCAGTAAATAGTAGAAGGTCGATATTTAAAACATTTTATTCTAATCAAAAAATGTGTTATGGTAAAATAACACTAGTAACTCTGCAATAGATACAAATTATTTAAATTAAAATTATATGATGAACAAAGCGATAAATTTTTTATCACAATTCATAACATTTATTTCTTAAAAGTAAAATTTAAATTTAAAATATTAAATAAAAAGTTGTAAAAAAAAGTTTGGTTCCTCTCTTTACAATAAATCTAGCAAAATTACAAGTTCAGAAGATACCTGTCTTTGAATATACTTTAATCAGAGTCCAATTTAAAGAAGACTTCTACTTATAATTTGATAATTATTTTTGCTCAATATTAAAAAAAGAATTCGCTGCTTTCATTTGTAGTTGGAAAAATAAATTTTTTTGAATCTTATTTACTCTATTATAAATAAGTCCAAAAATATTTTTAAATCTGTTTCTGTCTATTTACTATTCATAAGACTTGAGAGAAGTTTTAGTTTAAATAATAATTTTACATTAATAATTATTGATTATAGCAAGTTAGCGATTTTTAAATGAAGCTAAAATTTAAATTCCTTAATCTAAATGCTCAATTTATTAACATAAATGAGATAACGCTAATAAAAATAATAATCTACTCTAAAAGGTTACTAATTTTAAATGTAAATAAAATATAATATTATACAAAACAAAAGAAACAACTACTTAGTCTTTACTATATTTATTGATAAAAAATCGATAGTTGATAATATACAAAAAAAAATATTTTTATCTGTATTAGTTAACGTAATTTATTATTTTTATTGTTAAAAAACCCCAGCACAGGAGGGTCGCGGCACTGTGGTGACGTAGCATAGTTGGATCAAGTATAATGATATCTGACAGTGATTAAAATCACTATCAAAAGAAAAACGCTTCGATGCAAATCTTTAGATAGTGTTTAATTTTAAAAAATTGGTGGATTATTACAAAAGCTTCATGATCTGCTATTTCTTTATTAATATCCTGAATAAAAAAGGGATATTATTAAAAAATATTATTTCTCATAAAAAAATAATGTTGATCCATACACTTTTCAATATGTCATAACATTATAAAGTTAAAAATGTAAAAAATAAAATCGAGAATTTTCACACAATAATAGCATTCAGTAGCCATTTTCACCGTGAAGATAAAATAAAGTACAAACTTTTTTTTTTAAATAAACTATAAATAGTTTTATTATAAAAATAATTTAATAAGAATTAATAAGCTCTTGAAAATACATACAAAAAAAAATACTTTATTTATTTTTTTTTTGCATAATAAAGTAAATTACATTAACTTTAATTTAAGATATATATAAAAGTGTCAGACCTTCCGGAACATTTTCAAAAGTTAAGTTGAAAAAGTTGTCATTTTAAATCCCCCCATGTGGGCAGGTTAAGTGTTAAATTTATGAAAAAAATATACCAAATGAAAGGTAATGATATTATGCATCTATATAAAAAAGAATTATATTGATATGTTCATTTTTGAAAATGAACATGTTATGGCACTTTTACGTAAAAAAAAATTTCAAAAATTTCAAAAATTAGCGATTTTTAAATTCGTAATATTTTTGGAGGTTTCCCCCATTTACGGAGAACGAGGGAATTTTTTTCAACTTTTGAGGGTAATGTCTTCGACTAGATACAATTTGTGATCTTCTGACGTATCATTGAAAGAAATCGGTTCGGTGAGAGCTGAGAAAAAGTGGTAACAGACACAAAAAAAAAAAATAAAAATAAACACATCTTAGTAAAACCAATACCTTCTCAGCTTCGCATCGAAGCTAAAATAATGATTGGAAAAGGTATAATTAAAAAGAAAAATGATGCTAATAAATTGACTGTTTTCCACTCTTATAATACTTTTAAATAATAAATATAACTTTCTAAATTGCTTACACCCTCTTCCTTCTTAAGCCAATAGTTACTGATTATGCTCGAGTTACCTATTATATTTGTTACATACTTAATAGAAAACATTAATTTTTATTATAGTAATGATTTTTTTATGTAACATTTAGTGATGTTATGTACATAAATGAAAATTTTTCATTTATGACTGAATCATAATTTATGATTCTATCTACTAAATCAATAGTTAATAAATAGTGATGTTACAAACCCTGCTTTTGTTGTCGAAGTGAACATAAATTTCAATAATTTACAGACAAAACATTTTTTTATATTGTTTTTTAACAAATTCAGTATGATATCTGATTATACTAATTTAATTTTCAAACCTATTTACAAGGAAAAAGTTCGGTTCAATTTTCAAACTTAACCTAATAACTGAATTTTCGGTTCAAAAATCAAACCCTTCAAACATTATTACTAGTAATATAACATTCAATAAGTAATTATTAAAATCCTAAACAAAATTATTAATTAATGAAATTTTCTACGAAAGAAATTAATTGATTCCTGTGCTTTTATTTAGAACCTATAAGAAAATCCAACTTAATCTTAAATTACAAATCAAAATGTTATCAATTTTATTTTTCTATATATTTACTGTTAGATATCTATCGAAAAGTAAGATAATAGAAGATTTTTCAAGTATGACTTGAAATAATTAATTTGTTGGCTTAAGATAACACAATTTGTTAATGCTAATATAGTTATTTTACTACATTCAAATCATCTATTTTATAAAAAAGTTAAAATGTGCAATATTTGGTTGACAACTTGATTTATATGAGAATTGCATTTCTTTTCAATTATTTTTAAAATTTTTTTTTATTGATTTGTTATTTAATGTTCTTTCGGACTAGCCATAACAGTCTGGGAGTTGACAGAGGTACTCGTACGATTTAATTGATAACGTGAAAGAGGATATGCGCATACTAGTGCGCATTCCCGCTACCGGCGGCGCATTTCGATTTATCCGAAGTTTCAAAAATAAAACTGTAGTTAAAACGCGCGCGCCTGCTTACGTCTCTATTCTAAAATTGTCTTGGCTCACATCGGTTGACCACTATTATTAACGTCCGGGAAATTATCGACAATAATACAACCGATTCAATCTGTCGTGGAGCCGAGTCAGTTGGTGTAAGCAGTGACAGACGGGCGTGTAAAGGATATCGAGTTTGAGTTCAGTACGTCACAGGATTAAATTTTACATTTATTTTTATAAACTCTCAATACTAGTGCGATAGATTAGATTTGACGACAAAAGCGTTTTAAATGGCTCAACTAATTAATTTGAGATTATCTAGACCAGATCAAACATCTCCTTGGGGATTCAGGCTACAGGGTGGCAAAGACTTTGGTACGCCATTACTTATACAAAAAGTGAGTTTATATTGTTTAAGTTATCCTTAGAAATTAGTACTAAAATTTAGACATTTTTATTTATATGATTATCGCAACGTAAATAATATTTAAGTTAGTTTTTTTTTTACTGAATGTATTAAAATAAAATAATGTTAAGTATTCATCTAGTTATAAAATAACTTATATCTCATGAATATGTTTCACAAAACACAAATTTTATTTTATTGAAATCTTATTTATTTTTTTATAGATAATTTAATATAGAAACGATTTGTTATAAAAATAGTACATTTAAAGAGATAATGTCTTAAATTATATTAATGAGATTCACTATGAATTGATTGTATAAGTTATAAAGTAGTTAATATAGTATTTAAAAATAATATTTATTGGTAGAAAATTTCATTCACAAATTTCTATTTGATTAACCATTGTTTAAAATTTTATTATCCAAATTAAAATTAGAATGTTTACGATAAATTTCTAGAATTTCAAAAAGTTATTTTTTTATGAACACCAATGATTGTGTGTCCTCTAACGACCCTATTCGTATGTTGTCGTAGGTCCAATAAAACAACCAATGATCTTTTTTTCAATGAACTTAATTAAATAAATAATTAGTAGTGCTTAATAAAGCAATCAAATTTCAATTTTTTGGTTGTTGAGGTTCCAATAAGAATCTGGTATCTATGTATTACCATTCAATAAAAACGTTTAGGAGTATAAACGTATTTAGCTCATTCCATTAGTATTGGAATGAGTACCAACATAACTATCTATTTCTGTTTTCTTATTGGCCTTCTATGATTTTGGCTAAGTTCCCACTGTTACGAGATCTTATGCACGAATTGTACGCGTACAGGATCCTTATTCTATTGATCCGTAGAAATTAAATCATTATCAAATTATATTTATTAATAATTCAAAATATTTTTCTTGGATTTTACATTTCGCTATTGATTTGAATGTATAGCAATGACATGTTAAAAATTAAGTTTCTTTAAGATCTGTATAATATTGCTTGTTGTCGTAGTGTAGACCAGACATTGTTAAAATATTATTATTTTTTAATGAAGTTTGAGCAAGGAAGGTCGTAGTTTCTAGATTTTGTATTTTTTGCTGAGTATTTCAATAGTTAGGATGGCCGAAAACTTTATGGTTCAGAGCAACTCTACAAATCAAAACATGAATACACTAGTTTTGCCACTGCTCAGTCAAGTAGAAAAAAACCTATTAAGACATCCTACGATATTATGTCAATCTGTTAAATATTATTTTATTTCACCAATTCTTTTATTACAACAAAAAACGTTAATTTTAAATTAATATTATAAATGTATTTTTAATTTTAAATTATATTAGCCACAAGTAATCAATTTGTATTACACACCAAGTAGAATGTCTATTATTTATCTTTTTTATGAGCGTTAATAATTTTTAGCCAACTTAACTTGGATTTGAACCCTATAAAGTAGCATACTCATAGGCATACAAATTCTGCTGCAAGTGGAAAACACTTGTTCAAACAAAAACACTGACATAATGTTTCGACGTACACTAATTATCACTATGCATTTATTATTAGTAAATTTTACAATATATATTTTATATGCTTTTTTAAAATGTTTTAACCATTTACTTTTATTCATGTAAAAATAATTTCGATTATATGTTATACACTACTAATAATTTTGTGTAAAGCTAAACAACTAATGTATTTTGTTTTACTCTTCGCTGGGCATTTACGTGTTAAACATTTTACACTCTAAGTGAATACGTTAAGTTTAACTTTTAATTTATTTAATTACTTTTTTAACTTGTATAACATTAGATTCAAGTACAATACTACAATGTAAAAATAAAGTTACTTTTCACTTGTATTTACATTTAAAAAAAAATGTGTTAACTCGTTCAGCTTTGTCAAATTTTCAATTAGAAGTATTAAAAACTACCAAATCTATAAAACTTCTGCTTCTGATTTTTATAAAACCATGGACTTGTTTCAATATGGTCATTTATAATCGTTATAATTTAAACGTTATAATAAATTTCTTTAGATTTCTTAAAAATGAGTTTTAATTGAATTATTGTATAATAATTTTTAATTTCTCTGTAACTATTTACACGCTGTTTATATATTTAGTTGAGTTAAATAATTGAATGTATAATCGTGAATGTCAATTAGGCGCGGCCAAACTTCAAATTGTATTGGTTTTTCGTGAAAGCTGGTGGTCAAACTATGCCCTAAAATTCAGAAAAACGAAATCCTGTTATCTTATGTTTTCATAATTAATATCAGATACTGAAAGAAAACAGGAATTACGAGTGCCGTTTGTGAGGTAATAAATTTAAGCAAAAGTGTGGCGCCATCGTTGCTACTCTCTTAAAGTGACCAACACAATAATTTAGTTATTTAGTAGTATTTTCTGTGACAACAGAGTTTTCTTATTAAACATAAACTATGCGCATCGTTTGGTTTTCTAATTTTTATTATGTTTTCGTGTTCAACAGAAAGGATTTTTTCGTGTTTAACCTTCATTAATGAACACAACTGTATAGTTCTCAAGATAATACTTTGTTATCTTCATAATATGCGTTTAACATAAGTTCATTTTTCTCCAGTTGAGTCTGTACAACCGTTTGTTAGATTGACAATGACATACAAGAAAATCGTGCAAAAACATTGTGATGACTAATTGGGTTCATTTTAATTTGTTCGCAAAATGTAATTCATACTTTAATCATAGCTGAAAATTGATGTAACTAATTTTATTCATTTTTGTTCTTGATAAATACTAGGCGATTTTATAAATGACAACTGATTACTGTCTACCCGACAACGCTGATTAAGATTATTTTTCTAAAACATTTATGAAGTCATCGAATACCTTTTTTGCCTAACATGAATGCGTATATAATACGCCCATCAGCACTTTTCTTATTATTTTATTAATGGTTTTTATTTTGTTGTCAATTATGTGTTAGTCAATGATATAGATACACAAGTTTATGTCTCTAGAATCTCCAAATATTTACCAGTTTAAGCTTACCAAGTATTTTACTTGATATTTGTCAGATTGCTACTATGAAAACACTTATGCTCTCAGCTTTTTTTTCTTTGTACTTAAACTCATACAACAAAATATATAGTATGTATTCATGAATATTTAAAACAGTAAACATTAACTGCAGTTGGTCACACGCATATAAATATTTAGTCGTCTTAAGTATGTTCGTGTATGCGTTTAATGACGCTGTCACTAAACTCTTGGTTTTTAAGTATATTTGCAAAATAATCAGTATGATGTCACAGCTATAACTTAATAGTATCTCTAATGTACAACATTGACATTTTAATGAGTTATTTAAACACAAAAAAGGGATTTTCTCTTCTTATAACGATTTGGTGCCTCTTAAAAATATTGTTTCGAGGTGAATAACTTTTTTACTAGAGTTTTTAAGAATTAAAGAAACATTTATTTTCATATATTTACAATGATTAATATTATAAAAAGAGTGAATTTTTTTTTGTATTTTTTTAATTAAAAAACATAATTAAATTAAATTAATTTATTAGTAAATTATACGTAAATAATTAATGTCACTACTAATTCGCGTTTCTCAACCTATGGTATGCTTACATAAAAAGCTCTCCATTGAATACTCGTCGTAGGTGGTACGCAAAGATAATGACACTTTAATAAAAAAAATTAAGATAAACATAAAATATTATGTTCATATAGAGCTAAATATTTTTAATACTTTTTGGTTTTATAATTAATAATTCATACAAAGTATATATTTTTTATTTTAGATAAAATAAAGTTATTGGGCACAGTGGTGTATTCAGAATTTTTAATGGGTTCCCTTGTATTTAAAAAAAAAGATAACTAAATAGGTTTTTATTATTTTTCATTTAGTAGGGAATTTATCCCTAACCTATTCATTGATAACGGTTAAAATGTGTTGGTGATAATTGGATATATAAAGGTCAAGGTTTAAATTATTCATTTACTTTTATTTACAATAATAAAAATATATGTAAGTTAACTTAGATTATTAATAAGATAAGGAGCAAGGAGTTACAACTCTAAAACTTCTAAATAAGGGCATTAATAATGGATGGATTTGGGGGGTTTTTTGAGGTATTATGAATTAGGAAATTATGAATTCACACCCCAGACTATCTATACTTACATCATTGCTCCCAGAAACACAGAAAAGTAAATTTTAAGAAAAATTACGAATTTTAAGGATCACGTTTTAATAATTTACACTGTTCATTTGTTTTTGCTAAATGGAAATTGGAAAAAAATTATCTTTACGTTTCATGTGATCGTAGGGATCACTGCCAGATAGTGAAGTGTGCACAAATATTCATTTTGGCAAACCTTGGATCGTAACAACTACTATTGTATGGTGTTAGTAGCCACATCATTTAATGTCTTATTTAAAAAAAATATATATTTTTTTACTTTTTCTACATTATTAAACGGTTATTTCTCATACAAATATTACATAGAAAGTAGTTTATTTTACATTTTTAAATTAAGAATTGATTTTATTTTTACTTGACATTTAATTTATATTAACAACTCTGCTATCTTACTAATAACTGATGTATCAATATTTTAGGAATTATAACTATTTAGTGAAGTACCTATGCTACTTAATAAAGGTGATCTTAGAATTTTTGTCTATTAAAATGATTGACTGATTCATTACCATAAAAACATAACTTATTTATGTTTTACGGTGGTGGTCAGAATTTCTCGATTCACGTTTATGTATATACAACAGTATAATATAAAACCACGTGGGGTCGATGGGAGACATCTGTTCCAGTCGAGTTACTATTATTGAATAAATAAATATGATCATCAAAAACGCCTTTGGTCATAATTATGTGATATAACTAATAACATATTTTTAAATAAAAATCCCTGATGTTTTATTGTTAAAATGTTTCGTTTAAAAATTTTACTAATGTGTAAAAGACATGAATAATGTGTATTAAT